TCAAAACCTATGAGATGTCTCTATGTTCTTCTAACACCTCAGTTTTTTAAAGAAATCCGTTTTTTACGTAAGGAATTAAACTTTACTTCAATTATTCTTCTACTCAGTTTGAAAATAGAGCATGTCAAAGATAAAAATGCACACCTTTAGCCAGAGTTATATATTCTATTATATTGCATGAGATCTCCCTTTGTTCCAATCTAAATTTCAATCTTTCCCTTTTGTCTGTACCAATGTAGATTATTTATTTCTTTTATGACAAAGAATATGTGATTTATAACATTTTTAATTCGCACAATTTTAAGTCACACAGTTTTCACTTTTTTAATCCTTGTGTGAAGTCAAAATATGATTTAATTATGTAACAAAGGGAGTAAAATTTTCACTTTTTTCATTCTATAAAAACTCTCACCCCTGCATCGCACGAGTGAGAAACTAGTACTAAATATATGAGCAAAACATCTTAAAATTAACAATAAAACATACAACCAAACACGTATTTAAAATACTTGCAAAATTTAGTAAGTATCTTTCAAAAAGAAAGTGTACCAACATACTTGGTATAAAATACATCCAAAAAACAAGGTGTAGTAAACATTTCAATACGACAGAGGTATAATTCATTATTGGGAGAAAGACCAAAATGGACACTAAGGTTATTTAAAAAGCTCAAAATGGACACTAACCTTTTAAATAGATCAAATAAACCCATAATTCTACTTTTCAGGGTCATTCTGGACACCATCTAACGGAAGGGGGTTAAAAACTTGTTCCCCGTTAGTAATCGAGGAACTCTAATGTTGCCCCATCCAAGAACCCCATTATTATCTTCATCATTTGCTCAAAATTAAACGGGTTGGGATTCGCGTTTCTGAAGCGGGGCATTGAGCGGATCGTCCTTCTCTCAGGATAGGGGCGGAAATCGAAGCAGGGTTCTCGTTTTTCCGGCAACCAGTCCTGGGAGTGGCAAAGGGGCGACCATATCTCTGTTCCAGGCAACCATGTTCGGAGGATTCCAGCTGCGTCGAACAAGGGCCGCTTTGCCCAGGTGAATTCAGACGTCGAATGTACTACTCCAACAGGCTGTAATTTGTTCTCTTCTATTCGAATTGAAAGCAAAACTTTTAGTTTTAGTGTTGAATTTCATTATCCTTGCCAAAATTGATAGGAACCTGGTGCTAATTAAATTTACACCACTTTGTGAGGGTGAAGCCTCCTAAGAGAAGTATGGTAGGGAAGGGGATGGTGTTTAGAGTTTACGAGATCATACAGAATCAGGCTGCCCTGCTATTTGTTCATTGATCAACATATATACATGATTAATTAGAAATAACTACCTCCTATATAATAGCTAACACACTCCCATTACTTATTACATAACTTGAACTACTTGCACACATAATCACGTAGATGGGAAGGAGTTGTAGTTTTCCTCTTATCACGGTTAACTGCCAAAGAGGTGCTGTTATTCCCCTGCGTAACAGAAAGCACCACTTTGGACTTCATGGACTGATAAACATCGAGGGAGACGTTTCTACGGATGTCCCAATTATGAGGTATATATCTAATTTTAGAAAAATAGTTTTATTTATGTTTATAATTTAAATATCTCATATAATATGCAGAGTGATAGATGTGGATTCTTTGAATGGCATGATGAGCCATTAACTGGTAGGGCAAAAGTTGTTATTAATAGCTCAAATTGGAAAATAAACAGCTACGTCTAAGATTTGGAAACTGGAGCATGACATAGGTGGAAGGGGATTTGATACTAATGAGCTTCAAGGATCGAATAGTTTCAACACAGCTGAGCATATGGCATTGGAAAGGGAAAGAAATCAAATGAGGAATTGTTTAATTGTTGTATTGTCTTGTATTTTCATTGGAGTATTGTGTGTACTTTTTAGTTAGTTTGTATTTCTAGGTTGTGTGTAAAGTTAGGTTGTAAGTGATAAAATTAAGATGGAAGAATATTATTCATAAGCAAAAGAAGCTTAGAAACTATACTGGAGGAATTCTCCTTGATAATAACATGCAGCAGGTTTGGCCAACTTATATAATACATACATATGGAGTCCATCTATAATAGGAGAGAGAAGAGCATGTGTGCATGTCCCATGCAAGGGACCTTCCTACTTAATGAGCTATGAACAATCAAATAAATTAATATTACATCATGTGTCAACTTCAATAATGGAAGTAGTAAATATTAGCTATAATAAACTTCAATACTCCCCCTCAAGGTGGAGTGTGAAGATCTCGAACACCCAACTTGCGTCGTAAGAAATGAAACCGATCTGCTCCAAGCGGTTTGGTAAATATGTCGGCCACTTGATTCAATGTGGAAATGTATTGTGGCTGAATTTCAATACTAGTGACTCTTTCGCGTACAAAATAACAATCCATTTCGACATGCTTGGTACGTTCATGGAAGACAGGATTGAGAGCAATATGGCGTGCCGCCTGGTTGTCACAGTAAAGCGGTGTGGGATCCCTCTGAGGAACCGTGAGTTCCTGTAGTAGCCATCGTAACTATAATATCTCGCTCACTGTGACTGCCATAGCACGATATTCAGCTTCTGCGGAGGAACGAGAAACGACAGATTGTTTCTTTGTCCGCCATGAGATAGGTGATGCTCCAATAGTAATAAAATAACCTGTACTAGAGCGACGAGTGAAAGAGCATCCCGCCCAGTCAGCATCACAAAAACCTGTCAGTGTTAAGTCATTATCAGATGAGAGATAAATGCCTTGGCCTGGCGTCTACTTTAAATAACGAAGAACACGGATAGAAGCATCAAGATGAGTCTGTCGTGGAGCACTGAGAAATTGGTTGAGCTGGCTCACTGAGTAGACTATGTCAGGACGTGTGACAGTGAGATATAATAAACGCCCGATTAAGCGGCGATAGGAAGCAGCGTCCACCAGTGGACTACCATCGTCAGGAAGAAGTTTTAAATTCTGCTCCATTGGAAACAGGCTAGGCCGGCTGGCGAGAGTGCCACTTTCAGCTAAAATATCAAGAGTGTATTTGCGGTGACTCAGTACAAAGCCTTCTGAAGAACGAGCAACTTCAATGCCAAGAAAATATTTTAATTTTCCCAAGTCTTTTATACTAAACTTGGTGTTTAAAAATTCCTTGACAGTATTGATGTGATCAAGATCATCCCCTGCTAAAATCACATCGTCCACATATATTAGAGCAAACGTATTAATATGTCCCTTTTGAAAAATAAAAAGGGAGTGATCTGCCCGTGATGGACGAAAATTAATACTGATTAATGCCTCGGTGAATTTGTGATACCAATTACGAGAGGCCTGTTTGAGACCATATAGTGATTTGCGTAGCTTACAAACACGCGTATCACCTTTCTTGATGAACCCTTGTGGTAAACGCATATAGACATCCTCAGAAAGATCACCATGTAGGAAGGCATTATTTACGTCTAATTGGTGGACAATCCAATCGCGTTTGGCAGCAATGGCTAGCAAACACCGTACTGTAACAAGTTTGGCAACTGGTACAAAAGTTTCGTGGAAGTCAACACCTTCAACCTGGGTATAACCTTTAGCAACAAGTCTAGCCTTGTAGCGTTCCACATCCCCATTAGGTTTATATTTGATTTTATAAACCCATTAAGAATCAACCACCTTTTTTTCAAGGGGTAAGTGAACAAGTGTCCAAGTATTGTTTGCTTCAAGAGCATCAATTTCCTTTTGCATGGCTTCTCGCCATAATGGATCCTGTACTGCATGGGAGAAATGCTTAGGCTCATCATGAGTTGTGATGGCAGCTAAGTAAGCTTTGTGAGTCGGAGAAAACATATCATAATTAATGAAATGTGAAATAGGATATACCGTAGAGGAAGCATGATTGGCAGTGGATCGTGATTGAGTAAGGGAGGGCGGCAGGTCAGTTTCATAATTTGTAAGACGTGTTGATTGCTGCCGGAGTCTTGTACTGCATTTTGTCTCATTTTGAGATATTGTAGATTCAACCAGATTACGAGTAGCAAGTGGTTCAGACGGCATGGCGTGAATCGGCTTGTTACCGTTCAAATCATCGTGATGAGGCATTTCACCCATTAACACATTATGGCGCTGAGTTGATGGAAGGGAAGAGTCCAAATGTGAATGCTTAAGACCATGTGGTGGATGAGTAAGAGATGTGACATGCTCCAGGAGCATGGTGTCTCCTTCCGTGGCATTATTTGGCATCTCTGGCTGTCCATATGAGTCACCCTTATCATTTATACTCCCATGCACCTCTTGTTCATTGTTTATACGGCTGCTATTCGCAGGGGACCCACTACCCGCAAGTGGAGAAAGTTCACGGGAGATGTATCGATTTGAAGCTGGACAGAATGAGTAGGGGCTTGATTGATTTTGTTTGTCTAAATTAGGATGTACGATTTGACGATAAACGTAATCGGTCATGGCTCCCAAATTAAGCTCCGGGTCGAGTTGTATTTTGAACGGGAAAATGGCTTCAAAAAATGTAACGTCCCGTGAACTATAAATAATTTGTTTTTCCAAATCAAATACTCGATAAGCCTTTTGTTCATTCGGATAGCCAAGAAATATGCAAGGGCTCCCCCGTTCACTGAATTTATCCTTCCGTTTGTTATTGTGTGCATACACTAAGCACCCAAAAACCCGTAAATGGTCGTAATTTGGTAATTTTCCCAATAACATTTCATAAGGACTTTTATTGGAAATAATGGGTGAGGGAAGTCTATTTATAATATAGACGGCAGTAAGAATGCATTCTCCCCAAAAATTGATAGGTAAACCTGATTGGAAGCGGAGCGCCCTGGCGACTTCTAATATGTGTCTGTGTTTGCGTTCAACAACGCCATTTTGTTGAGGTGTGTCGGTACACGATGTTTCCAATAATATTCCATTTTGGCCGTAAAAGACGAGTAAAGCATTGGTTTGAAATTCAACACCATTATCTGCTCGTATTCGTTTAATTCGTTTTTCAAATTGGGTATCAACCATTTTAAAAAACTGAATTAGTACTTGGGGAACCTCAGATTTATTTTTTATTAAATAGACCCAAACAGCTCTTGTGAAATCATCAACTATGGTCAAGAAATAACGTGCCCCGGTAATAGAATCACACTTATAGCCACCCCAAATATCACAATGTATTAATTCGAAACAACAAGTTGTCTTAATGATACTGACTGGAAAAGGTAGACGAGTCTGCTTTGCTCGTATGCAGGAGTCACAGAAGTTGTTAAATCGCTTTGACCCTTGGAGACTAGCAATATTATGTAACCTTTGATCTGAAGCATGTCCCAGCCGCTGATCCCACAAATCAAGATTAATAGAAACTGACATTGCCACTCCCTTATTTTCTGGTGACTCTAAATAATAGAGACCATCACGACATTTGCCCACCCCAATCAGCTTCCTCGAGGGTAAGTCCTGTAAAATACACAAATCATTAAAAAATGTAAGTGTGCAGTTACAATCATTTATAAGACGGTTGACTGAGAGTAAATTGCACTTGAAATCTGGAATATATAGGACTCTTTGTAGTCGGAGGCCATTGAATAGGCATAAGCTACCGATAGCTTGAACAGAAGCTGAGTCACCGTTAGGAATTTTTACCGTTGGTGTTGAAACATGGGGTTGGATGTTAATGAGACCATCATTATTACAAATGATATGTTCACTTGCTCCGGAATCAATGATCCAAGAACGACCCCTGATTGAAATATCTGTCATATTTATCTGACTCTCAGAAGTGGATGCACGTGATTTGTCCAGTAGCTGAGTCTGCAAAATTTGGGCTATTTTTTGCAATTGCTCATCAGAGACTCCAACATCAATTTTATTTTTACTATCCACGTGTGCCACACTAGCTGGAGGGTGCCTGCGATAATTGTTATTTCCCTGTAGATGTTTCTCTCTGCCTCCAACATCTCTGTTTGGTTGGAAGGTTTTCGAGGGAAGGAAAGGGATGGATGTTTATTATTTTGCTTATTTATTTGTTTAGATGATTTTGAAACAGTGAGGATTTTTTTTATAGGGATACATTATTTAACTAAAAATATTGTTCTTTTCCACTCAAAGTGTCTAAGACTTGTAAATAAATAAAATTTTGTATAATGAAAATAAATCCTCTCATTCATCCCTTCTGAGAACCCTCAACCAAACACATCCTCAGTTAATTAACTTTCCTTGAAATATCTGTGAGTCTCTTAGTAACTTTTTATTATTATTATTTCAGGTAATGTTGAAGGATGTGGTTAGAACTAAGACGTACCAAAATCCCATCGATAAGAATCCATTTCTATTCAAGGACAAAGTGCATGGTCCTTGATGTGTTTGGTGTTGGGACTGGGATCCTTTCTCTTTTTTTTTTGTGTGTAAAAGTTGGTGCTAAACACGTTTATGCGGTATGTATCTGATTCGTACTAGGAAATTACATCTTCAAGTTTGTACTTTCATAAATCGTCATTTGTCTCTTTTTATTTGGTCTGTGTCTCGTTGCAAAAGCTGGATTGGCTAATGGCTCTGTAAGGTATGTAATAGCATATATATTGTTACCATGTTTAGTTTATATCCCTATAATCCCTCGTGTAAATATCCCCATAATATCTCTTGTATTATGTAGTTTCCATTACTAGCACTAGCACTCTTGTATATATAGGGATACTTTGTAATGATTGGAGACATGGAATAATACACATTCTTCATGGTATCAGACTTATCTTAGTAATATACCCGTTCCTTTTCCTGGGCTGTCTGCCATGGCTGGCGACACCACTCCTAAACAACCCATACATCCTGCCCTCACCCTCAACAACATCAAATCTCTCATTCCAATTACTCTCGATCTTAAAGACGATGAGTATTCTTCTTGGGTTTTTCTGTTTCAACTACATCTTGAGGCTCATAATTTGATGTTTCTAATCAAAGGAACTCCTGCTCCTGCCGGCATCGATGCACCTCTTCAGAAACAACTCGATGCTTTAGTCCGTCAATGGATGTTTTCCACCATGACAAAGGACTTAATGCTCACGGTTCTGAAATCTGGCAGCACGGCTCAAGCTTTGTGGGAACGCCTTAGCACACTGTTTCAGGACAACAAAGGGACCCGAGCTGCGATTCTGGAGCGGCAATTTGTCAATCTCAAGTTCACAGACTGTAATGGTGTTGATGATTACTGTGACCGGCTTCAAACTCTGTCTGAACGCCTCAAAGATCTTAATTTCCGATGAATGACAAGCGGTTGGTCATACAACTCGTCAATGGTCTGCCCTCCGAATACGACACCGTGGCTTCCTTGATCTCTCAGACCATGCCGAGTTTTGACAACGCGCGCACACAGCTGCGCACCGAGGAACAGCGGCGGTCGCAGCAGTCTTCTCCAACTGCTCTGGCGGTTACCGATTCTCAGGGCACTCGATTTCTGGACGCCTCTAGTCCGCCCGCCTCTGCGCCCTCTAGACAGCCTCGCAATCCCAGAAATCCCGGTCGCCGAGGCCCTAATTTGCAGCAGGATCGCAGCAGCAACCAGCGAAGATCCAGATCGCAAGGGTCCTTCAGCGGCAGAGCATCTGGAACCTTCAGCGGCAACTCTTCAGCGGCAGAGCATCCGGGGCAAGCATCTGGATGTACTACCCCTTTAATTTCTGGTTATCAGCCTTGGCCTGTTGGGCCTCCATTTTGGGCTATACCTCCTTGCCCATATCCCACAGCTCCAGCCCCTTCCTATTGGGCAGCTCCTTTCCACCGACCCTTGGGCCCATCTCCATCGGGCTCTAATCTGCCAGCCCATAATAATAATAATAAAAATAAAAAAATTGCTCTCACCACGGAGACTTTGCAGCCGCAGGATATTGCCGAGGCGTATAGCTCAATGACGCTAAATCAACCACATGATGACTCTTTCTATATGGATACTGGCGCCACCACTCATCTTACTGCGGATCCAGGTACCTTATCTAATGTTTTTAATAAGAGCACTGTCCATTCTGTTTTGGTTGGAAATGGTAATTGCATTCCAGTTATTGCTAGTGGCAACAAAACTTTAGCTCTTCCCAACCGAAACCTATACCTAAAAAATGCCCTTGTTGCTCCTGCCATTATTAAAAACCTTGTATCTGTTCGCAAATTCACCACTGACAATAATGTTTCTGTTGAATTTGATCCCTCTGGCTTTTCTGTGAAGGACTTGACTTCAGGGACTCTAGTTATGAGATGCAATAGTTCCGGGGAGCTCTACCCTCTTACCGTCAGTGATCCACCAACTGCGCCCGTCTCTCAACCTCTCTCTCTTGCCGTTGTGTCATCTGAATTATGGCATCGTCGTCTCGGACATCCCGGCACGGCTGTCATAGATTCATTACGTAGTCAGTCTTTAATTACTTGTAATAAGGAGTATCCCTCCAAATTATGTCATTCGTGTCAAATTAGTAAGCATGTTCGTTTACCTTTCTTGCCGTCTGGCTCTAATACCATTGCTCCGTTTGATATTGTTCACAGTGACTTATGGACTTGCCCTATCAGCTCTAACACGGGTTTTAGATATTATCTTATCCTGTTAGATGATTTTACTAACTATTTATGGGTATATCCTCTTAAAGTCAAGTCCCAAGTGTTTGGCAAATTTTTAGAGTTCAGCTCCTTTGTTCGCACCCAGTTTGAAAAAGAAATCAAATCCTTTCAATGTGATTTGGGGCGTGAATTTGATAACTCCTTATTTCACAATTTTGCCAAAGAACGTGGCCTTGTGTTTCGTTTCTCGTGTCCTCAAACATCCTCTCAAAACGGCAAAGCAGAACGTATGATACGTCGTATCAATGACATGACACGTACTCTTATGATTCATGCTTCCGTTCCCTCCACCTTTTGGGTTGACGCTCTTTACATGACTGTTTACCTACATAACATCCTACCCACCAAAATTCTATCCTTCCGCTCCCCTACTCTAGCTTTGTACCATCGTCAACCCACATATAATCACCTTCGTACCTTTGGTTGTCTATGTTATCCTAACCTCGCCGCCACTACACCCCACAAAATGGCTCCCCGGTCAACTCGTTGTGTCTTTCTTGGCTTCCCCCTCAATCATCGTGGATATCGATGTCTGGAGTTAGCTACTGGAAAAATCATTATCTCTCGCCATGTTACCTTTGATGAATCTGTGTTTCCTTTTACAGATCCATCACCACCAACCCCCACCTCTTATGATTTTTTATCCTCCACCACACTTCCCTTAGATAGCCTCGCCTATCCCACCGCACCCTCATCTCACAACACCCCAACATCACCCTCATCTACCTCCCCACACAGTCCACCCAATCCTCCCACACCACCAACCCCTCCAAGCGACCCTCCCCCTCCACAACCTCCTACCCGACCCACCCATCCTATGGTCACCCGTGCTTCTCATGGGATCTTTAAACCCAAACCTGTCTTTGATCTCAATGTCCAAACCATTTCACCTCTCCCTCGTTCTCACCTTTATGCCCTTAAAGACCCTAACTGGAATGCTGCCATGCAAGATGAGTACAATGCCTTATTAAAAACTCAGACTTGGGATCTTGTTCCGCGGCCCCCTGGTGCTCATGTTATCCGTTCCATATGGCTCTTTCGGCACAAATTTCACTGTGATGGGTCTCTTCAGCGGTACAAGGCCCGTTTGGTTGCTAACGGCAAATCTCAGCAGGTTGGTATCGATTGCTTTGACACATTCAGCCCTGTAGTCAAACCTGCCACCATTCGCACTGTTCTTACCATTGCTACATCACGTTCTTGGCCTATTCATCAACTGGATGTCAAAAATGCCTTTGTGCATGGTGACCTATCTGAGACAGTTTATATGCATCAACCCCCTGGTTTTGTTGATCCCACAAAACCAACTTATGTATGCCGCCTACGCAAATCTCTTTATGGTCTCAAACAAGCTCCAAGGGCATGGTTTCAGCGTTTTGCTACATTCATTACTAGTTGTGGGTTCCAAGGCAGTACATGTGACACTTCTTTGTTTGTCTATCACTCTGGGTCTGACATGGCATATCTATTGTTATATGTGGATGATATTCTTCTCACGGCTTCTTCTGATGCGTTACTCCATCGCTTTATTGCTCTCATGCACCAAGAATTCTCCATGACTAATCTAGGAGAACTACACCACTTCCTGGGACTCACTGCGACTAAATCCTCCTCAGGCTTATTTTTGTCTCAATCACTGTATGCTCAAGAAATTCTGGCTCGTGCTACCATGACCAAATGTAACCCCGTGGCCACACCTGTTGATACATCCTCTAAGCTCAGTGCTCTCACAGGGTCCCCTGTTGCTGATCCAGCTTTATATCGAAGCTTAGCAGGTGCACTACAATATCTTACATTCACTCGCCCGGACATCTCTTATGCAGTTCAACAAGTCTGCCTTTTTATGCATGATCCTCGTGAACCTCACTTTCAAGCTCTAAAGCGTATTCTACGCTATCTTCGGGGTACACTTGATCATGGCTTATTCATCTCTGCATCACCTATCACTGGTCTTACTGCCTATTCTGATGCTGATTGGGCTGGATGCCCTGACTCTCGTCGCTCTACATCTGGTTTTTGTGTGTTTCTTGGGGAAAATCTAATCTCTTGGTCTTCTAAACGACAACCCACTGTTTCCCGGTCTAGTGCTGAGGCTGAATATCGTGGAGTTGCCAATGTTGTTGCTGAATCATGTTGGTTACGCAACTTACTTCTTGAACTTCATCTTCCCCTGCGCCGAGCCACCGTAGTCTATTGTGATAATGTCAGTGCTGTTTACCTCTCTAGTAATCCCATCCAACATCAACGCACCAAACATATTGAGATCGACATTCACTTTGTGCGTGAACGTGTCCGTATTGGAGATATTCGAGTCCTACACATCCCTGCTGACTGCCAATATGCTGACATTTTCACTAAGGGTTTACCACGCTCCACTTTTCTTCGTTTTCGAGATAGTCTCAGCATTCGGCCTCCTCCCGCTTCAACTACGGGGGAGTAATAGCATATATATTGTTACCATGTTTAGTTTATATCCCTATAATCCCTCGTGTAAATATCCCCATAATATCTCTTGTATTATGTACTTTCCATTACTAGCACTAGCACTCTTGTATATATAGGGATACTTTGTAATGATTGGAGACATGGAATAATACACATTCTTCAGTATGTAACCAACAAATGTAGGTATGACTACGGTTTGAAACGCCTCTTGCTGTACTACGATTAACATATCCGACACTAGCCCGGTTGTGTTTTCATCGAGTTGTGGTTTCCCCAAATCAAAAAGTTCGTTTTTTCATGTCCAATTTCAGGTTCTCGGGGAAACCGTAGTGGGGATTCTGGACCCGATGCTCGGGTATACATCAGGAGAAAAAAGCTAAGAACACATTGGAAGTTTCTGCCGAAGTTCTTGAGAAAGAATCTCCTGATAAAAAAGCTCTGGGGCTTCCTGATATCGAGAATTTTTCCTATAGAAGTGAGAACGTCCATGTTCAGTCACACATTCCTTTACATCAATTACCTCTCTCAAGTGAACAGGTGATTGAGAAGGAAGATCTGCCCTCAATAAGCCTAACGGCATTTCCTTATGCACATGGGTCCACTTAACTAACAAGGATTAGGACTTTTAATTAATCTCCGGGAGACTAAACTAGCTGGGCCCAGACTTCAAGGACTTACGAGAGATGAACCTGAGGGTTTAGGGACTCGCCATGGCTTTACCTGAGTCCAAAAGCAAGTTCTTAAAAATGTAATACTAAATGTTCTTTCAGGTAAGAAGTTGTTATACTCTTTGTTATAATTTTTAACTTACTTTGACTTAGATTAATAGATGGACCATGACGAATGGTTAAAGTATATAGTATAAATTTATTGAAATTAACTTGATTAATTTAATATACTGATTACCTTAAATGTTGGTGCACTTTTTATAATTTATGGTCCAAATTCGTAATATATGCTCAGCCTTTAAATGAACTCCTAAAAAATTAAAATAAATAAAGCATCATTTACCTTGCACTGGATCATCTCATCACTTATTTTCATTCCAAAAATAGGATTGGGTTGCATTAATTGCTAACGTCAGTATATTATTTATTTTTCTTTATTCTAACCTCTTGTTTTTATAGTTAACCTCTTGATTATCGACCTTATTTCTGATAATTTCTGATAAAGATAGCATCCTTCTACATTAATACTCCGTAATTGTTTTATATATCATCATCACATGAGTGTCTGCCATAGTGCCATGTACTAACCCAATCTAATCTAAAATATTATAAAGATAAATACGGAGTATAGATTTAGTAGAGGTTTATATAGGTGGGTGGGTGTACGGTATTGTCATTGTAGCACACTAGCACAAATGGAAATGCCCATTGATAGCTTACTAAATCAATTCCCAAGATTAGACACTAAAGTTGCCCTAAATTGAATTTATTTTTGTGCTTTTACACGGTTTGTCCCTTGCACTATAAATAATCACATAGGCCGATGATTTGTTGGTGCTCATATGTTAATAGTAAAATGTATAAGACCTAAATATGTTTTATGTTTTATACGGGCTTGAAAATTTGCAATATAACCCTCTTCAAACATGGCTCTTGGTTTTAATCTAATACTATCGGTATGTATGTTGTGTATTATGTTACAAATAGAAATTTTAGTACCAAATTTGTGTATACTATCATGAAGCCATCAAATCAAAGTGCAGCCCGACGAAAAGTTGGTCATTGTTGTGTAGATCAAACCAAACTATAGAAATGCTTAAAGCCAAGTGAGATGAACATGATATGAACAAAATGCTTAATCTGAATAAGTGTTACATGATAAAAAAAATTAAATGTGCTCTCATTTTTCATTATTCGCAAACAATGTCACATGGTATTGCCTTAGGATTGTGTACCCCTACAAGTCTCAAAAAAACACTCAAACTTCACAACAACCAAGTGAAATACAATGGACAATTCATCTTTTTAATTTTGTACAAATAGAATGAAGTAATTTAAAAAAAAAATACATACTATAAATTACATTGGACATCAACATACTCGCGCAACGCGCGATACAACAACTAGTCATATGTAATAGACGTGTCTCTTAGTAGCATTTCTTTTGAATTTTAATTTAAAATAAAATCTTAAAGTAACTGCTACTAGACACGTCTCATGGCAGCCAAATCAAAATTGTGATTTTAATTGGCATACGTACATGCCATTTAGTCATGACCAAAATAATTTATCATTATTATTCACATGATTGCTTTATTACTTAATCGCAAGGAAGAAGTAATTTATATGAATAATAAATTAATAAATATATTTTAGTTTCATCCTTAATATTATTTTAATTAACCTTCACACACCTAATTAAAATATTATTATTAAGGACCTGGTTGCACACCTAAGCCATATTTCTTAACAAATTTCTAACAATCCTCCTCCATTTGTTGAGAAATAAAACAGGCTCTATCCTTGTCAAAAGACCACTCATCAAGACTTATGCATAATTGAAAGTGTCTTAAAGATTGAACTTTCATTTAGTGTAATATTCTTTACAATATTTCAGATCATAATAGTAGACTAAGCTTTGAACTATATAACCACTTTGAAATACTGAAGATATTACACACACAAGTCTTTATACAATTTAACTTAGAAACTTGACACTATTAACGGCCTTGTGTCCATATCCATTCATGAGCTCCAATAAGTAAAGCCTTAAACTTGGTGAATCGGCCGCCATTCTAGCTCACATAGGTAGATCTTTTCAAATTGTGTCATGCAATTAAACACTTTATCAAAAGATCTATTAAGACATAGTCAACCTCATTACACATTGCAGACTCAAGCACTTACCTCGGGATGGTTATTATTCAAAAGTGCTTCAATCACGGAGTGACTTACTCATCATCATTGAACTCAAGATCTAGCGTTGTACTAGACGTTGAGTTGTGCTTTCTTTCACTTGTGATTATTTTCCAAGGGCTTTAAACCCATCCCTTTTGCAGTTTTGTAAACCCATCCTTTTAGGTTGAAGTTACTTTTCTAGCTGCATTGGCTGAAGTTACTGTAGATGATTATTTTAATTATGTTTTCATATAATTTTTTATTTATTTTATTAATTAAAAAAATTGAATACATTTTTTTCATAAATCGACAGAATCAATTATTCAATTCAGCCACTTTAGTCAGAACTACATAAATTTAACAGAATCTGTTGATTCAGCCAATTTCATTGTTAGCAAACGAACTCTACATATTCTAAAACTTAGGGTGGGTAAAAAAATTGAAAAGCATGGTACCGAACCGTATCGACCGGACCGTAATCACACCGAATCGATATTTTTTGAACGGGATGAGAAGAATTTGCACTTTTAGGGTTGATTTGCAAATGCTTTAAAAAAAAGCACTTCTCAGTTTTTGGATTAAAAAAACATTTATTTTACCAAACACTACCAACTTTTATTTTTCTCGGCTTTCGTGTCAAACGTGTTTTTACTTTTTCTATTACACAAAAATCACTTATTTTACCAAACACTACCACCTTTTACTTTTCAAAAGCACTTTTTTCTCAAACACTATCAACTTTTATTTAATCACTTCTCCCCATTTCATTTTTAAGTTTAAATTCCATCCAAAAAAAGCTTGGGATACGTATAATTTAGAAAAATTAACTAGTGTAACACCCGGGGCATGCCCCGGTAGTGTCACTTTGATAAATACTACTCCGTACAATACTACATCCATCCCATTTTATGTGTCTTTCTTTAGTTGGACACAATTTTAAATAAAATGGTTAAAAGTTAAAATTTGTAGTTGATATTTGAGTATAGTAAAGTGAAATGGTGACACTTATTTTGAGACAACTCAAAAAGAAAAGTGGGACATGTAAATTGAGATTTGAGACAGAGGAAGTATTAAATAATAAATGTCAATAGAGACTGAGGATTTTTATAGAATCTGGTATTGCTATGATATTAATAAAAACAAATTAATATGTATGCTAATATTTTGTTGAGGTATGAGAATGAATACTCAAAAGCTTTAATGTGCATTAGTCATTGTGGGCTTGAAAATGAATGAAATTATTTATGATAAGGGACCAGAATCCGAATTAGCTAATTGCCTGATTTGTGTTTCGATGTGTGTAGTCTCAGAGTCGAATGATATTTAATCGATCTTCGTTTTTTTTTTTTGCAATTTAACAATTGCAAACCATTTTGCTCTAATTTTTAGCAATTGGGTTTGAAGTGTTAATTCCTGAAGTTAATTAATAAACAATAGGGAGTAATATTTTTTTTATTAACAAATTGGAACTACCATTCAACAAAATTGTTTTAGCGGTGTTATCTATTTTTGCTTTGATTTGAAGAGTAACATCCAAATTTATAGAAATTGCTTTAGGGGCTTTATCTATTTTGTTTTGAATTAGGAAGTAACCTCCAGGTTTAAAAAATTGGAATGGATAGTTTTTTAGGTTCTTGTAACTCTCTCCAAAACACTTCAGATGATTTACTTTGTCAGTTCTCTCAAATTGAGAGTTTTTGAAAGATAACAAATTAAATGATAATTTTAGCTGAACTCAAAATGAATATAAGTTTAGCTAATATACATTTTAAACAATTTTAATTGTGATTCCTTTGTAACCCCTCACCTTAAACTCCCAAGTATGCCTTTAGATGTCTTTCATATGAAAAATAAAGTAGAAACAAAGTAGAATTCAATTCAGTGTTCAAAATAGTTATTATCTAACCAATAAAAAATATATGAAATTGGCAATTACATCTTGAAAATATAATGTAAGTATATACTGTTTGATATAATAAAACTAAGTTATAACACAATATTGACGGAAGTGAAGTGATACCAAAAAAGTTTGTTAATATTGAAATTAGCTGAATTGTCTGTATCTGCTTAAATTGATGAAAATCAAATTGAATTAACTGAATGTGTTTAATTTTGAAAAAAAATAAATTTAAAATGTATTTTATTAGTGAAACAAAGATAAAATTGTGAAATAATTATAAATTTATGACTAAGATAAAGAGTGTGCAGAAAAAATGTGACATAGAAGTTTGTATGTGAGTATATAGCTAAAATCATATTAGTGACTACATCTTAAGTGTAGTGACTTTAATAGTGACTATGACATTTTGCAAAAAGAAATGATTATATTGTGACATTATACTTATAGTATCCTTAATCATATTACTGTAAATATGTTTTATATTAGTAATATTTTCGAAAAACTATAAGTTTGTATGTGAGTATATAGCTAAAATAGCCATCTTCAGCACTTCCCTCCAATTCGGCTAGAAAAGTAACCCTAATCTTACTTATCTTGATTATTACATAATTCAATTAGCGAATAAAAAATTACATGTTTGATATAAAAACTGACAGGATAAGGTTGATAAGCCGAATATATAGGTTACCAATGAACTTTTTATTTATGTATTAATTATTTGGTATGAAAGGAAGAATAGATAGGAAGGAAAATAAATTACAGGATTAAGAGCCTGTTTGGTGACTCTGTTTCTCGGCTAATCAGTCTTAGTAACCAACTTTTTTACCAAACACGTAACTTTTGATTTCGCCCACTAAAATATTTAATAATAAATATAAGTAAGATTGAAGTTATTTTTCTGACTGAATGAGTTGAAGTTACTGCAGAGAAGACTATTTTAGCTAATTTCATATAATTTTTCTTTATTCATTAATGAAATGTAATCAATCAATCATCAATCATCATTTACCTCAGTGCCGCAAAGGCTCCCCACCTATGGTGAGGTAAGGGCGGTCGGATGTACTCAGTCTTACCCCTGCCCACAATTGCAATGACTGACTGCTGCTTCATAACAAAGAAGAGCAGGCAGTTTGGTGAGTCAGTTTGCTTTATTCCATCATATTCTCAAGCCAAAAAATAATGTATCTTTGGCTCCATTGCAAATGATGGAAAATTAATGAAATGTAATAAAATTTAAAATTTTCATTAAATAGCAGAATCCGCCAATCCATTCACTTCAACTAGAACTTCATAAATTTCAGTAAAATCAACTGATTCAACCAATTTTAGTGTCATCCAATGGACTTTAAGAATGGGATGAAATTAATAAGTGAGTGAAGTTTTAGAGGCATATGATTAAGATTTTGTCTTTTGGACTGAAACTTGCTGGTCTGATTTGGTCTGGCCTAGTCTATTTAAGTCTGTTCTAATCTGATCTGGTCCGCTAAACATCTAGTCCATGTGTATTAATTTTATAACTGTCCAAGTTTGGTCTGTGTCTGATTTTTTTAAGTCTGGTTTAGTCTGATCTGTTTAAGTCTGGTCTGATGTGGTCTGGTCTGAGATTGAAAACAGTCCAAAAGATAACACTGTCTTATATAATATATATGCATGAATTACTTGTTTTTGTTTTTGTGAAGGCTCTTATTTTTCATTTTTTTGTTAAAAAATTAAAAGTGTTGTACTACGTAGAATTAATATTAGTAGTACTTGGTGAAAGAGTCCAAATTAAAAATTATGACCGAACGAAGGAGCGTCTTGCCTGCTATTGAAGAGTTTTCTTTTAAAAAAAATGCTATTGAAGAGTCCCAAAACAAATGAATTACGTAGTATTAATTGATTCATTAAATGTTGCGTATCATAAAAGTTTTAAATTGTTAAATAAGGAGTAATATATTTGTTAACCAATCATTGAATGACACATGGGCATTTTATAACTCAGTTTTACTATATAAAACAATAGATGTAGCAATACGTGTCATCTGCATTTGCGATACATATGGAGTATATATTTAGCTTGGGATGGTTTCACGGAACACGTTTCTTTTTTACTTTTCATCCAACTAGTATTCTCACCCGTGCGATGCATGACCAAAATAAAGAACCTTGTATTGATTAAAACAAAATTATTGAAATTCAAAACGATACATCAAATCTTTTACAATGACCACTTCACGGACAACAAACAAAATCATGTTATTCAACATACGACAACATGAAAAAATTCAAAATTTTGAAGCATTTCCTCATAAACAACATTTGTTGTCACATTCGAACTCTGATCGTTATCATCTAAAATTAGAAAATTTTCAATCCTTTTGGGTTCATAACTTGAGAAAGTGCCACATATAGTTGCTAGTATATTACACATGCGATACGCGTGATTTCAAATACAAATTATCACATATTGCAACTTCGTAAAGGAATTCACATAAAAAAAAACAATTTTAAGCATTTCTCCTTTCTTATCGGTTTTAGCTTTGAATGCTTAACTTCGACCCGAATGGCTATTTTGAGAACTTTACTTTTAGACCTTTTGAAATAAAACCTACCTAGTAATAAATTCTAAAGTAGTATTTGTTTTACATCATTGCAAAACTCTACTTAATCTCTTTAACCCTTAGGCCATCTCCAACAGTACGTTTACACCATTTTTTACACTAAAATAGTGTAAACATCACATCGTACAGTATTTTATCTCCAACAGTTTTCACAATTTTCATCATAAAAAAGAAATATTCCCTTTTTATTCTTTTTACTAACTTTTTACCATTCTTCTATTTAAGTATCTAATTATCATATATTTATACATTAGCCCCTCATTTAATATGTTGACATTTCACACATTATTTCACACATACAAACTAAAATACACCATTTTAATATGTATTTTCACGCTTTTCACTAATTAAAATACAATCATGTTTTAATTGTAGGGTCTGGAAGCGGGTTGAATGACTACTAATTTCTAAATTAGCATGTACTATGTATGTTTTTAATTATGTTTTAATTTTAAATATAATGGTGTTATTAATTGTAATTTTAATCATGTTATTTTCAATTCTTAAGTATCATTTGTATTTTGTTATTATGTTGTTTCGATTTGAAACTTTAGTTATGATATTGTGTGATTTAAATTTTATTATATTTTTGTTATTTTCTATCAAATTCATAATTTTAATTTGTTGTTCTATACGAATGTTTTTACTTGGACTGTAATTTGTCTCAGATCAGATCAGACCGGATTAGACCAAACTTGGGTAGTTATAAAAATACAAAGAAATCGGATCAGACCACATCAGTTCAGACTAGACCAGACCAAATCAGACCAGACAGACCAGAGCAGACCAACAAATTTCAGTCCAAGTAAAAACATCCTAATTTGTTGTTTTAAAAATGGGTCAAAACTATTACAATCAAAACTTTGGGTCACATTTGAAATTAAAAAAAATTAGAAAAAGAAGATGGCGTTGCATTTGGTGTACGCCATATATGGCGTAAAGCCAAAGGCTCTCCCCCAAAATGCATGGTGAAATGGTGTAGAAGATGGTGTGGCTATTGGAGCAAGTTTTTGACAAATCCACCATTTTGGTGTAGGATTCGGTGCTTGTTGGAGTTACTCTTAAACTACTAAATTATACTTTTAAAACATTTGATTTTCATTCTAATATGTACGCTTAGAAAATACGTAGTACTTTTAATAGTAAACACATAATCATCAAAACATTTTCTGACAACTTTTGAAAATGCATGTCTTGTAATTTTGAAAGCAAAATTTCTTTTGCCTATCCAAACATTCAATGTTTTCCTATCTATGCTTTTTATATATAAAAAGTTCTACCGTATTCATACCGTATTTTTATAGATTTCAAAACAACATATACAAAGTAATATTTTCTATGAAAATCTTTAATCTACGTGTAAGAATAGCTAGATGATAAGAATTTGCATGATTAAGAACAATTAATAAAAAAATCATTAATATTGCTCTTGGAAAAGTGGTGGACAAAAATATTACGGAGTATTTGGTAACTATTAACAATTAATTGTTTTAAGTGTTTACATTGTACGTAGTGATTTCATGTAGTCACTATGATGTAAATTTTTAATAATCACTAATAGTTATTAACTATTTTGTTTATGATTTTTTTATTACTAATATTTTACTCATAAATAACTTGTCTTATTCTAAAGATTAACTATTCTACGAATGAGTAATAATAAGAGCATTAGAAAGATTACAAAGAATCATTTTTCTAACAAATTTCAATCATACAAAAAACTATATCCACTATATATGTTTTAAAATTTTATACTTATAAATTATTTCATCCAAAAATGTATTGTACTCCATAGTACAATACTAGTATGATGTTCTATGGAGTACATGCATATGATGTACGTAGTGTGAAACATGCATGCGTCATGGCTATGAATTGGATAGCAGATGCTGCAGATTTATGTGTAAAATATTTCATGTATATGGGTATTCAATGAAACCTTATAGCAAAGAGTAAAGTAGTAAATCATACGGAGTAACAAACTTTTTTAAGATACCCGGTTCTTCAAATGAAATACATTTAGAAGTTCACACCAATCTCTCTCACACTCATAGGTGTTGAAATTTAGATACCCGGTTCTTCTATATATGAATGTGAGTACCATCCATATCCCCTAAAAATTCGATCACTACTTTGGAAGGTAATTGAAACATTTAATATAACTTAACACATAAATGAAATATCAAATACACATATATATGAAAAGTGTGCCACTTCCCTCCTCATTGTGAAATATGCATTCTGAGGAAATACACATATGAAAAGTGAGCCACTTCCCTTCACACGCAGTGACTGTGCTCTTCCGGCCAGGGGGGGCCGGCACGGGCTCTGGCCCCTGGTTCAATTCTGCCACAGTTTACGGGTGTTTGACGGAAAAGAGCAGATTTTCTACCTTACATTCCAAAAAGTGCATTTTTTGGGGGGTTTTCTGAGACAGTATTAATGTTGGCAGGTCCGAAATAATGTTGTCAGTATTAAACTCATTTTCGGAGTTCCCAAGCTCGAAAATGGAACCCGCCAAAAATGTTTGAAAAAATGGAACTTGCCATTTTCGGAGTTGGCAACTCCGAATTAGTAAAGTATTTTTTTTGTATTTTTTTTGTTGTCTTAATATGGATTGTTGGGGCTGCATTATCCAAATGTTGTGTTTATTTTTTTGTTTTGAAGTTTGTTTTATAATTGTTGTTATAAATCGTATTTTGTTCAACATAATTAAAAATCATACAATATTTGTATTTTAAGTTGAATTTGCGTCTGACTCCCGATTTAAATAAAAACATGCATTTTACAAAAATTTGACCCATAAAAATAATTTACCACACGTTTTACAAAAGTGACCCATTAAATGTTTTGAGCACAAATTGTAAAAAGTTTGTTACATTTACATTAACAAAATAATTTTTTGAACGTAATTCAAATTATAGAACCGTACCCATTAAATAATGTGAACCCGGAAAAGATGATTAAAAGTATCAATATGTTAATATATTTACAAGAACAAACTACATTGATTAAAAGTTTCAATATATTAAATTAATGTGACGATTTTTAAAAATAGTTGACCCATTCAGTGTTATGAACTCCAAAGTAAATACAAATACAGTTTACAATATAACACGTTTAATTTATAAGTGACCCATAAAGTCATACGAATTCAAAATTAAACAAAGTTCATTGCACAATAAGTCATATTAAAGGTACATATAAAACATATGGCTAATAAATATTTTACAACATTAAAACAAAGTACAAAAAAGGATTACCTTATAAGAGTACAAACACGTACAAATCAATCATGTTGTCTTCTCCGTCTTGGACGCATATCCATCTCATTTGGAAATCTTGTTTCTTGACGGCGCCCAGCTCGAGAAGTTCTGGAAGAGTACTTGGGCGGTAGAAGAATGAACTCATTTTGTGGTCACTCATTCATATTTAGAAATGGCATGATATCACTGGAATGTGCATTTATGTAAGAACTCAGTTTGTATACCTCAGGAACAAGATAATCAACATGATTGAGTTCGTCAAACGAAGCATATATCCTTCCCACATGTATTGGATCTTCCACACGGTAGGCGGGTTCAACAAACGGATCCTCTTGGTTGTGTGGCACAGCCCAAGACGAGTCATGACTATCATCACTATCATCAGAAGCGCTCTCCTCTTCCGAAAATGACAGATTGTTGTAGTCAGGGTCATCTTCATCCTCCACGGCCTCATGTGAGGGATCCATATGAACCATTGAAGGACCTTGATTTAATGTAGATGGAACCGGGTTGCGCCGCTGCCTAGAAGGGCCTTCATGCAATGGAATAACCACATCCCTATTGGTTGCATCAATGAATACCTCCAAACGATCATATACGCTCGAAACTATTTGGACAAAATAGATCCACGACGGCTCATCATGTATGGGCCACGGCATAGATGCACACACACCATCGCTAGTATCAAAAGGAAATTTTCCGTGAATGGTTTTAATTTCATTTAAACCATCACGAGAAATCTGAGAAAGTACATTCTCACACAATGTTGAGTAGATAACAACCACTTCCAAAAAAGCACCGCATTCGGAAATGAAGAGTATTTGACTTCGTTGTCAACATTGGTCAATACCCCATTCCAATGAACGAGAACTATTATGTTCTGCTCACTTGACATTTTTATTTGTGGAGGAAGTGAAAGAAATTATATATTTACCAATACAACTTATGAATTTCTTAAATATTTTATATATATTTTAACAACTAATACGTACTATTGCGTATTTTCTATTCACCTACTTTTATAGAAATATTAAACCTTTTTGTACAATTATTAATACTAATATAATAATAATAAAAGATTACTACACTTATTGCCTACGTACAATTTACTTCGTAATATCACCGAGTGCGTATTCCGAGATATTTTATCTGATCGAGAATATTTATATCTGATAAAGTGTATTTTTTAATCTGACCGGAGACATTATTGGGGTGGTTGGAAATAATGAGGTTAGTTGTGGAGTGGATGGGTGCCTATTCCGAGATATTTTATCTGTCCGGGAATATATTTATCTGATAAAGTGTATTTTTTATCTGACACGAGACATTATTGGGGTGGTTGGAAATAATGAGGTTAGGTGTGGAGTAGATGAGTGCGTATTCCGAGATATTTTATCTGACCGGGAATATTTTTATCTGATAAAGTGTATTTTTTTTATCTGACACGAGACGTAGTATGTCATTTTTTCTATTCACCTACTTTTATAGAAATATTAAACCTTTTTTCTACAATTATTACTACTAATATAATAATAAAAAAAGATTACTACACTTATTACCTACGTAAAATACTAAAATTTACTCCGTAATATTTCAAGTCATAAACAAATATATGCACACATTAATAATACAAATTGTATCTAATTATAAATAATAATAATAATAATAATAATAATAATAATAATAATAATAATAATAATAATAATAATAATAATAATAATAATAATAATAATAATAATAATAATAATAATAATAATAATAATAATAATAATAATAATAATAATAATAATAATAATAATAATAATAATAATAATAATAATAATAATAATAATAATAATAATAATAATAATAATAATAATAATAATAATAATAATAATAATAATAATAATAATAATAATAATAATAATAATAATAATAATAATAATAATAATAATAATAATAATAATAATAATAATAATAATAATAATAATAATAATAATAATAATAATAATAATAATAATAATAATAATAATAATAATAATAATAATAATAATAATAATAATAATAATAATAATAATAATAATAATAATAATAATAATAATAATAATAATAATAATAATAATAATAATAATAATAATAATAATAATAATAATAATAATAATAATAATAATAATAATAATAATAATAATAATAATAATAATAATAATAATAATAATAATAATAATAACAACAACAACAACAATAATGAATAAGGAGGAGGAGGAGGAATAAGTCACTAACCTTTCAATAGAGGGGTTGAGAGGAGGGTCGAAGGAGGACTCAGTTGAAGGTATGGGAGAATGGAGGTAGGGAAGGTCAATTTATAAACACAAAACTATCCTCCGATTTGTAGCCAACCAATCACGAAGCCGGAAATCTCATCCTCTGGATTCGGAGCTGCCAAATCCGAAATAGAGAAAGCTGACCACTCTGTTTTCGGAGTTGAGAAATCCGAAAATAAGAAAGCTGATTTTGGGCACTTTTCAATTTCGGAGTACCCAACTCCGTTTTGGCTTTTTTTGTCAAAAAAATCGGATCTACCCTATTTGGAAACACCTGATAGAAATATGTTTTGTTTCGTCATTTCTTCACAGTTTACTGCAACATTGAACACACGGCTATGAATTGGAATACCAAGTATATGATATGCCACAAACTGGAATATGAAAAGGTCAAGTTTGAAACTGTCAAATCTGCGGATCAAATAATTACACAACATAAGTGACCATTAACTTATCCATGCGAGAAGAGTTTTCCAGAATATTCTTTGAGAGTTGAGATATAAATGGAAAAAACCTGAACTACTAAAATGAGTACGCTATTCGGCCTTGTCAACACTTTGCTGCAAACTGAAGCTATTTATACACATACACGAAATGGAATTTGTTTTTTTTTTTTTTTGAGGAAACACGAAATGGAATTTATAAAGGCAAATAATACTTGGAAATCTGAAATCCATTGATACGCCAAAATATGTTGAACTAAATAAATATGTTTCCATAAGATATTAAGATAGATTGAGTAGTACGTAGTATTACGTATTTTTTTGACGAGTGTGAGATCCGCGTGCTCTCTAATGAGCCCGTTACGGGCTCCTTAAAATTTCTGCTATACACATCCCTTTGACCCTTTATATATTGTATAATTTAATAGTTATATCATATAAGTTATATGAGGAAAGTTTTGCATTCTAACTTAGTGACGAAATTTAATTTTCGTTGATAAAATATACGGAGTAATATGGAGTGACAATTTTATTTCATATATTCTATATTCGATAATTATATAAAACTTGCAGTTTAATTTAGTTACAAAATTTAATTTTCATTTGATGGAATAATAATAATAGCTTCAACAACAACACCAACAGTAATAATTGTGTGGCATTAAGGCCATTTGCATTGTGTGGCATTAAGACTCGGCGGCATACATTGTTCTAAAATGCGTGAGACGTGGCCGCAAGACGTCGAGGCCAAATTTCAACCCTTTGAAAACTAGGCGGAAAGAGGCGAAGAAAAAATCAATCTCCAAAATATATTATACAAGATTGAGCCTAACTTTTTACTTTGTTCAATGTATATAATCATTAAATGTATAAAAAGTGAAAATATAAAATGTTATATTGTTGCTTATTACTAATCTGTGTGAGATTCCATATATAACATGTTTGTTTAAGTATTTTTTAGATTTAATCAATTTTTTCTTTGTAAAATTTTATTTATCTAAAAAGTTTCTGCCATTTCACGCCTAGGTCTCGCCTTTCACTCCTAGGCTTACGCCTTTTCACATTTTAAATGGTCAACTCTTCAGTTGACCGTTTTTCCACGCCTTTCTGCCGCCTCATGCCTAAGCGCGCCTAGGTCCCATCTTTACTGCTTTTTAGAACTCTACTCGGTGGTGATGTCAGGCAAATACTCCCTTTATATCAAAGGCATCAAGACAAGTGATTGTTTGTGCTATTTTAATGCCTAATATATTTGGAGACATTCTCATGTTCTCACTTTAACAAAAATGAGGCTGAAATGAGGCTTTTCGCATTGTAATAATGTTGACGAATTGAAAAGTTTCTAAGATTTGGTGCTCAAAATAGGAAACGGAAATATTGGGCATATCATAAATGGAGAGGTCGTCATTGATATACCTTATGATACACTTATTACCACTTGAGATGATCATATTGCTTCAATTGTTGTTAGCACTTATCTGTCACTAATGAAGAATATGGTTGATCCATCATATATTAAACAAAGAGCTATTTTGACACCACATGTGATATAATTATAAAGCTTATCAATAATTATATGATTCCATTCATGTCTAGAGAAATGAAGACATATTTGAGTTTTACGGCCAATGCTCACTTGAAAGCAACACTAGCGCTAACTCCGATGGAGTGCATACTCGATATTTTTTTTAAACCATCAATGTATCACGTATATCAAACCATAAATTGGGATTAAAGGTTGATGTTCCTATTATATTAATTAATGAGAAACATTGACAAGTTTTCTCACTTACGTAATGGGACTCGTGTGATTATTACTCGGTTGGGTAAATGTGTTTCGGAGGCGAAAGTTATATCTGACAAAAGTATTGGTCAAAAGATTTTGATTCCACGGTTATTATAAGTCCCGTCAGAGAGCATAATTTCTTTCAAATATAAACACATGCAATTTTCAATCGTAGTTTCATTTACCAGGACGATAAACAAAAGTCAAGGACAATCTCTGCACCAAGTGGCCGGGCACATATATTTCCAAATATGTTATTACGCACGGTCAATTGTATGTTGTCATGTCAATGGTAACCTAAATGAGAAAGACCATCGTGCTATCAACTATGGTGCACCGATACTTCATCCTAATGTCGTATCCGCGTATTCGATATGTATCTGATACCGATGCTCACAGATACGTGATGTACGTATTGGATTCGTATCCGTAATTTAGTAAAAGTATTGGACTAATTTTAAAAAATATAAATACTTCCAATACATGTATCCGTGAACCGATACACTTATCTAACCCTATAACCCTGATTTCACACACGAAATGACGAAAATTTAGTAGTCACCCAAGCGACCATTAGGTATAGAACATTGGTAAAGATGAGCTTGGGAGTATGGAAAATATTGGAATACTAATTTGTTGCTTGATGAGCTTTAATTGAAATCCATCTTTTTAAAAGATTAGATGTAAATTTATATGGAGAAGCAAAAATATTACTCCCTCTGTCCCACTTTGTAAGACACTTTACGGTTTACGATTTTTGACCAACGATAAAGCAAAGGGATCCATGGCCGCACTCAAAATACTTTTAGAAAAAAAATAAATATTCAGAAACTACATTAAAAGCTTTACAAAGTGGCAAAAACAAGAATCAAAATTGATAAAAATTTGATTTATAAGGTAAGAGATTAAGAGTTATTTGTGTTGACCAAGTGAATAGGAAACATATCTTACAAATTGAGACCGGGGGAGTATTTGATTTTAAATCGAAATATCAATACTTTTGTTTTTAGTCTAACCTTTGAATTTTTTTTAGAATTGTTAATTTTTGGTACTATTATAATTATTTTATTTATGAACCTCTGAATTATATATATCTGCAAATGATACTCTATATTACTTATAAATATACCCCGTACCGTATCTGTATCCGTGCAACATAGGCTATCAACACCATTAATATTGTGATTTATAAATAAGATTTTGGAAATTTATGATATTTTTGTGCTGTTTAATTAAACGTTTATGATTCTTCTGTTTTTACTTTATGAGACCAGCTAATAATTACAATTGAAAAAACGGAAAATAATGATTACCCCCTTGAGGTTAGGTGATAATTATTAAATCAACCTTATATTTTTAGAACTGAATTATTTACCCCTTAAGCTTTTATTAAAATTAGAATGTCCCCCTTTTGTTAAATTTAAGTTGTTTTGATCGTTAATTGTAAGTGGAATTCCCAAAAATGTCCTTATCTATTAAACTAAACTAAGGGGTGGTATAAAATAAAAGTACATCAACTGAAAGTTTTCAGGCTTACTCCAAAAGTATTCAAACAAAAATTTAATGTTATCCCAAGCATCATTGCAGCACACTTGAAAGTGTTTTGTGCCTTTCCGTTTTTCTTCTTTTGTGCTCTAATTTCAATTCTCAGTCGCAGACCCATTCGTACATCAAAGGAAAATTCACTCGGCTGTGTATTTGAAGTAGGGGTGGACAAAAATACCGAACTGGCATGGTACCGGACTGAAAAACGGAACTTGAAAGGGAGCTCAATTTTTTTTTGTCGCTAACCAAACCGTACCGGTTCTAAACAATGTCATGACCGGTTAAAATTTGTACTACTATAGTTTATCTGAAATTTGATAATTATGTAAATTGATATGGTATTAAACACTTGAAAAGGTGACGTTGTTTGGTATTAGTATGATATGGTACCGCCCCGTTTGTAAATAAAACCGTACTAAACGAGTTTAGGTCTAAGATCGAACCGAACCGTTTCAATAGTCACGATACAGGTACGAGCTCGGCAAAATACTAGACTGGACCGGAGCGAACCCCCTAATTTAAAAAAAAAAATACGTATGTAGATGAGAGGATTTAACAAATTATCTCTAAACAAGGTTATTTTAGTCAAAGAAATATGCATTTGATGAAAATGTTGATAGAAGGGGAAGATTACAACATTAATTGTAGCTGAGGGGGTCAATAGTTGACTTTTAAAAATATAAGGTTGAACTAATAATTATGATCAAACTAGAAGGAGGTAATCATAATTTTCCCTTGAAAAAATGTACTAAATTCCATTATAATATTTGATGTTATATTACTAGAAAATGATTATGACTACAAAAAAAACCACCAAATAAGTGAAAAATATTCTTAAACTTCACGTTGTTTAGGAAACTATAGTAAAATTAATACCTGAAGTAGAGTAAAATTATATACTGCGGAATATTTTTATAAATACTAATTTTGCACTTAAGAAATAGTATCATTTCACAATGGAGTCCTAGGAAATATTATCATATTAAATGATAGACTACTTTGTAACTTCACGTTGTTTAGAATTTGTAAAGTATTACTAATGAATAATTGATGATGAACTACCGCTCTTTATTTCACAAATATTACCTCATTGCAAGTGTATCTAAAATGTGTAAACATTTGCCATATAATGTCGGAAAATAATGAAAATGTAGATAAATAATTAAATATTACCTCGTTGTGGGGGCGAGCAAACGGGTACAAGAACAACGGGTCGGGTAATACAAGTTCGAGACGGGTTAGGGCCACATCCTATTTTTTGAAAACTCAATTATATAATGTTATTTTAAAAAACTCTATTACATTTAACATAATAACAGAGAAAGCTTATCATGTTCTTGTGTCTAGACAAAGACTCTCAATTAAAGAAACTTGGTAGTCTATTAAAAAGAGTTTCAGAGTCATATAAACTCCTAAATTATTCTCCCCAATTCTCTATTCCAAATGCATTAAATGAAGTGTAATAATTTATTTAATTATCTTAGTTTTAAGGAGTTAATAATTTTTGTAAATGGAGACTCTTACACAATGAAGTGTGACATATTTATTTAACTATCTTAGTTTTAATTTCAATTTGAGGTTTAATAACCTTTAAATTGTTTTCTTAGAGAAATATGTATGGTAACTAATTTAGTTTCTTCTAACTTTACAGTGATATCTTTTTAGTTTATGAGTAATGATGCCTATATTTCTACATTTAAAATTTGGTGTTATTTAATTTGGGTGGTTGGTGCTATTTAATTTATAGGTTTTGTGGTTAGATATTTTGTTAACTAATTTAAAATGTTGTTTTATATTTTTTAATTTGAATTTGCTCTACATTAAGGTGTTGATACTTAATTAGTTTGAGAATTTTATAACTTACTAGATACTTTGCTAGCATAGCGATATTTGTTTTTACAAAAAAAAGAACCGAGAACTTGGACTGACCCGGTCCGTTTAAACGGGGCGGGTAAGATCAAATTCCTATTTCAAAACTTGGTAGTTGGTACGGCTGGATTGAACATACCCGCTAAATGGAACAGGTGATTCTTGAAAAATATATACCACAGGAATGAACATATATACCGAGCAACCAATGGGGTAAAATCGTTCTCCATTGATTAAATATGCTAAATTTGTAGATAAAATGACGAAATTCACCAAATTCACCAATATGTTAAATATTTACCAAGGCCCTTGTCTAAAAATACTTTTAAAATAATACTCTATTGAAGAGTGAAAGGAAAGGATCATTTACATTCATTAGACCAAAAAAATCATACTCGCACATAGTTTTTCATTCTCAGTCAATTAAACCAACAAGGCGAATTAAGTAGGAAGTACGAAGTATGTTATAAGCATAAAAATCAGTATACCAAACATGCATGAGGTGTTGTAACAACAAACAACGATGGTCAGGAAAACTTGAATGGCAATGAAAAACTGGTGGTGGGCATGACCAGCAAGTCAGCAACTACCAAGCCCGTTTTTCCTCCTACATGAAGAAAACTCAAACCCGATTGCTGACTAGCAGCATTCCGTCTGCTCTACCTAGAACAGTAACATAAGCAACAAAATGTATCGAACTTTCCTTCCGATAATGCCCCTGTCCTCCGAGAGTTTCATTTGCATACAATGACCAGGGAATACATGACAGAACACTGACACATTCACCAAAAATGGTTGTAACATCTTAGTGGCCATCAAAATGCAGAGAAAGCATTCCATTAGCATATTGCTTACGCGCCTTCCTATAATCATCAAGCAGTGTGACATAGACCGGCTGCACATCCTCAAATGCTATTTCATTGCAGAAGTTTGACTTTACCTGGTAAAAAACAGCTTCTGCCACTTCTCTGTTTTGTTGACTAATTTGATAAATAACATCATTAGGATCTACTAAATGAATACTGTTGGTGTCCGTTTCGTGTTCCCCCTTTAACAAATGCCTTATCCATTTGAAATGAGAGAAGAGATCTTCGTGTTTCTCAATGGCGGCTTCCACAAGTTTCAACACATCTACAAACGTTGCCTCGCTTCTTATTTTACAAATAATGTGGCTGAAAATATCCTTCTGGTTAACAAGGAGCCAATCTGTATGTTCACATGAATGGGAAAGTGCACCAACCAAACAAGCCTTCCGAAATATTGGGTCAGTATCACCGAAACATTTCACGGCAATATGAATCAGGATTGCTGATATCTTATGTAAAACCAGTGATTCTGAATCTGCAAGTATATATGGAGTTATACTTTGTCTCCTGCACCAATGATAGAAGGCAACATGAGCAAAGCCTTCCCACCTGCAATTACACAAATATGCATTTTTTTACACATATATAGATTTCATAGTATCATATAACAGAAATAAATTCAATGAGTTTGAACCAATATATAAATTAATTTTTTCATGTAAACCTGTATTTTATTCTCTCCAAAATTTCTTTCGATTTGCCTTCCTCCTAATATTTACAATACATAAGTACAGACATAAGAAATTACCTTTGATTGTTATTGAGTAAAGGGTCAGATTGGTACTCGAAGTTGCATAAAAAGGGTCAAATAAGTCCTTATATAGGAGGCTCTGTCCAGCCGTCGCCATTTGGGGCGGTTCTCGGTGGAATTTTTTGACGAAATTTTTTGAACATCTTATTCATTAAGTCTAGTTTATTCATACCAAATTTCAGCTAAAACTTCAATCAGGAAGGCATTCAAATGAATTTTTGAAGATAACTACGCTTTTAACTGCGTAGTTATCTTTAATAATTTATTTGAATGCCTTCTCGATTGAAGTTTTAGCTAAAATTTGGTATGAGTAAACTAGACTTAATGAATAAGATGCTCACAAAATTTCATCAAAAAATTCCATCGAGAAACGCCCCAAATAGCAACGGCTGGATAGTAAGGACTTATTTGACACTTTTTATGCAATTTCGAGTACCAATTTGACCCTTTACTCGATAGTAATTAAATACTCCATATTTGGAATACTCTAGCGTTTGAGGTCTACGTTGTTCATTGTGCAGTAAAAAAAAAAGGCTCATCTATATTACTCCTCCGTCCCGTTGGGGTGTTCCCGCTTTCCTTTTTTAGATGTCCCAAAAAGAAGTTCTCATTTCCCTAAATGGAAAGTTCTCCTACATCAAAACAGTGCCGAACAGTGCCAAACAGTGTCAAACAGTGCCAAACAGTGTCAAAACAGTAAAATTTACCCCTTGGTAAGTTTATTTCCTTAATATGTGTGTAGGTCAAACCGGGAACATCCCAACGGGACGGAAGGAGTAATACATACAGTGATGCAGAGTATGACTTATAAATGGAACGTTTTCATTGAAGGTACAACACGAAAGAAAAATGAAAAATCCTCGTGTATTTCTTCACTAATGTAGGTTGAAAATTACGTAGTATGAATTTATGGCTCAATGACTGAATGTACTAAGATATGAAAATATATATTTAAAATAAACTGTATTTTATTACTAACGTGAAGAAAAAGTTACATGCCAAATCTTAAGCCAATTCAGCCAAAAATATCCAACCTTACCTTTTTCATATAAATACATTTAGCACGTAAATTTAAAAAATTAGTGTTTGATACAAAAACTAGTTGATGGGCAAAAAAAATTATCCAAGTAAATTCTTCTAACCATAAAAAATAAATAGCTTTTCACTTGGTTATTTTTGCTCAAATGATTTTCCTTAAAAAACAATTTCAGAAAAAATTACTATTACCAAAAGGACCCGGAAAATGTTATTTTTCCCACACACAAAGAAGCTCATTTTTTTTAATTTTTTTAAAACTGATTCACATCCTCACACTACAAACCAGACCATAAGAAAACACTTACTCGAATGGGGGCTCGACTTCAATAGAAAGAGTTAGATGCAAGGAAAAGCCAGTGGATGCGTCACACCCTCCACCATAACCGATAGTACGTGCCTCGTGAGGGTGGCCTCTCGGAATATATAAAATATCACCCTCTTTCAGCAAAACTTCTTTGTGTGCATCCATTATACCTCTTTCCTTCTTCTCAAGAGCTTCGTACAAGCGAGGTAGGCGATTACCAGCTGGGGAGAAAATATTCCATGTTTTTGCCCCAACGAGTTGGCAGATAAAGACACAGTGATCATCACTGTGACAAGCCAACCCCTGACAGCCAGGAGGTGTCAGGTACAAGTTTACTCCTATTGAAGGTTGACCAAACATAGATGCCACTTCATCCGCAACGGAAGCAATGCTCGTATAACGAAACCCCATACCGCGTAAAGCAATTGTATACCCTTCCTTGTATGCTTGCTCACACTTGAGTATATCGGCACTGCTAAAGATAATGGGGAACTCAAAGTTTATATTATCTGTTTGTGTTTGAAAATAGTGCAACTCAGATTCTGAATCATGTGTTTGGACAACACGAATATCCTCTTGGTGAACAATCGGACAACCTAAACTATTACTTACCTCATCTAGGAAATGTAGAATGTCATGTTCGTCTGAAGGAATAGGTGGACAATGAATAAGTCCTCTTAGCATCGAGGATAAAAAGGAAGGGACCGACTTCCTTAATTTACTGAAGTCTATAAAAGAACTCATTATATTTTTCAGCTTGGAGTTTGTTAACAGAAAGGGTGATGACTCCCAAATGTTCAACATAAAATTTTCCAAACTCGTATCTTCTGCATTGAAAAACCCAACTGAAGGTGCTCTACATGGATTAATATCCACGGAGAGCCTGAAAACACTTTCAGCCAGATTGTTCGTCTGAATACTGTTTATGTAAGAAACTCCATCCTGTGTGCAATTTTCAGAGATACCACAAAGCTCCAGTTGATGAACTTCTTCCCACACATTTTTTAAATGCAACAGCAAAACCCTTGAGAGGGTTACTGGGATCTTATGTAGCTGTTCGATAGTGCATGAATTAAGAAGAATTATGATAGCATTCACAAGCAATATTGACAACTTATCGTCGTTGAAAACAATTTTGGGGCATTCAGTACACTTCCCATCTGAAAGAAGAGACACCATAGGAGTAGATGATTTAGGGTCCTGAAAGAAGCGAAGACTAACAAATAGTAAGTCAGGGTTATAAAACAATACTGCCATTAGTTATAGCTTAACATGGTTTCTAAGGCAAAATGTGGAGCACAATTCAACAAAAAAACTACAGATTCTTACACATTTTTCTCCAATATCAAGTTAGACCTCATATGAGACGTGAGAATGAAAAATCACGAAAAATAGACAACCTAGTCATCATTGAAAAAAAAACAAGAAATGATTCTCTTGAAAAAAACCTAGTTGTGTTTTTACTAATATTTCGCTACTTGTTAGCCTTAGAATTGAAAATCATTTTCTTTTCCAACCATCTAATGTAAAAATAAATTAACAACATAAGTATCACTCCTCTCCTCGACTAACCTTCAAAACCTCCCCACTAAAGAAGAGTAAGTATGGCATCATTCTATGACATTTTGATTCTATAATGTCATGCATACCGAGATCCATTTTTATGAGCAAATGGTATAATGGGAGCATGTATTAGAATTACAACTCAGCCTTGTTGTTTTGTTATGGATTACTGTAATACTGTTCTAATTAAGTCATTGGTATTCCATTATGACAAGGAAGGATGACAATGGTACTCACATTAGATTCTCAATGGCAAACGAGTCAACAAGATGTTTTCGTCCAATCGACGTGGTAGAAAGGTCAAGAATAGAGTTACAAGCAGCCATTGATCTGAGACTATTAGAACTCTTCAACAAAGCAACCAACCCCTTCACAATCTGCTCTTCAGAAGCTATCTGTTCGTTCATCTCAATGGACATCAATGATAATGCTCCCACAATCTCTATGCTTTTGCAAGCAACTTCGTCACTTCTTTGGTTCAAAAGAGTATATGTAATGTCAGTGCATTTCTAAAGCAGCATTTACTCATCCAAGATATTAAAAATAAATCTTTAATCATTTTGTCCTTTGTGGGTTGGGGTACAAAGAGGTGGGGGACACAGATGGGCTAAGGTAGGAAGTCCCAAAAAATAACTATATATTACCTTTAGGCATTTCATTGGTTTATCTAGTGGAGGACCTAGGCGGGCATGGGGGCACACGCCCCCGCTTCCGGTCCCAAAAAACAGCTTTATTACTTATGTCATAGAATTGTGCCCCGTTTCTACTCTCATAGAATGATACTAGCTTCTAGAAGAGTGTTTAGATATCATATTAGTTTCTAAAAAGATATATTGTTACCGTCGAAGAAGATAAATAATAATTATTCTAAACCAAGGTTTAAAAGGGCTAGTTCAGGTATCTAGGGTGTTTGTTGCGGAGAGGCGAGGCGTATTGAGGCGTAAGCCTCAAAATGTACCAACAGATAAAACTTAAACTAGTTAAACTAGTAATAAACAACTAAAGAAACACATAATTATAAGTCCAGAAAATCTGAAACACAAACACCGACATGAACACAAGCCCTTCATCATCGGATGGCAAATCATCCACCAAAGATTTTACTCAGCATTGGTTAAGGATCTTAATTTAAGGTGTCTATCTTTCATTCTTTTGTAATACCTTGACCAGTTCTAGGAAACCATGACCAACAACTCAGTAAAAGAAGGAGAGGAGGGAAGGAGAAGAAGAAGTGAAGGAGAGATGTAGAAGAAGAGGAGCAGATGAGGAGAAAGGGATGTAGGAGAGAGGAGAAGCTACCTGCAAGAATGGAGTGTTTGTAACATTGTAAGAAGTTGTGGAACAGGAGTATGAAAACTTCTTTGTGAAGAAGTATGCAAACATTTTAACGATTAATGAATACTACAAATGAAACAGGGCCTGTTAGGGGTTTAGTGTGGATTACTGACATATGTTTAATGTATGGGCCTTTTATTAAATAAAAATACACCGGGCTTTTTCTAAGTACAATCCATTAAAAAGATTAAACAAATGAAATCGCGTCTCATAAACGCCGCAAGGCATACACCTTAACTTTTGGAGCGTAAGCCTCTTGACCTGCGAAAACAACCTAAACCCTGATACCTTCTGTGTACGCCTCACCTTGAGGTGCGCCTCAAAACCCGCCCTGTAAGCACCTTTTTATACTATGTTCCAAACTCATGGACAAAACGCGTATTATTTTGATTTTGAGTATTGTCTAAATAAAATAATCTAAAATGACATATGTTGGTTTGAATTAGGGATTCTAATGAGCCGAGTCGAGCCTCAACATCCAAAACTCTTGTTTGACTCGTTGAGGTAATAATGATGTTTGAGTTCGAGCTTGAAACTCAACGAGCTGTGCAAATGGGGTTTAGGCTTGACTCGGTAGATGTTCTATGTTTGGGAGCGCACGGTAAGCTCGATAAATATGCTCCCGTGTAGAAGTCTACTTATGTTCATTAACAAGTTCGTGATCGTAGTATTCGACAAGTGCCCGGACTTTTAACAAAAGTAATATTGAGTGACAAAAATAAAACACAAAGACTACAAAGAAAACAACAAATTTAACAATGATTTGTCACTGATTGATACGGTTATTTTTCATGCCTCCGTGTCAACTTCAAAATATCTCGAAAGATAATAGCTCTAGAAAGGGTTTTGTCAAGGATTTTGTACGTATTAGTAGATCCTTGTCAAATCCGAGTCAAAATCTATGCAAATGTGACTTCGCCTAAAAAAAATTAGCAGCGTTGACAAAAAAAAGTATCAATTCGTGATAAATTAGTGGCAGGCAGTTTAATTTTCTGTAATGCAATATGATAAAAGTTCAATATGTAAGGTCAAATTATTGAATAGAGTTTTCTGGATCGATGGAATAGTAAGCCTAAACTCTACTTCATTTTTGGACACAGTATTATTATATTTCAAACAGGTACAAAAAAAAATATGTGACACCATGTAACATTGGAGGATAAGATACTAGTCCTCACCCAGAATTTTAACTGTTTATAGTATGCAAAATAGCTACAATCCTAACTGCAGAGCAAAACTTCTGGTCCCACCACTCGGTTTATCCATATCACCTTAAGATATTTGATGGGTTCATCCAAATTAACTTTTAAGACATTGAAATTAATATAAACCAGTAATTCTGTAAACGTACACATTTTATGATTTTGAACTAAAATATTTCTACTTGGAGTTTTTACACCATTGTGTGACACCATGTAACTGTTTATAGTATTTAAAATAGCTAGAATTCTAACTGCATCGCATTTGAGAAAACTTCTGGTTCCACCACTCAGTTTATCCGTATTACCTTAAGATATTTGATGAATTGATGCCTTGATGGTTCATCCATATAAACTTATGATATTGGAATTAATATAAACCTGTAAACGTACACATTTTATGATTTAGAACTAAAATATTTCTACTTGGAGTTTTTACACCATTGTCCATTGCCCAGAGAGCTATGGTTAGTAATAATCCTTAACTTTTTTGAAAAAAATATCAAACAAATAATTAACAGATAAAACTAAATAAGCAAAACGGAGACATCGAAATCTTACTTGGAGCTGATAAGGACGGGAAGCAGGGACAGGATAGGTGTGGAGAGACTTTGCGAAAGAGACCGATGCAATTTCGTTAAGCATCGTTGAATGAGAGCTAAATCTTCCCCTCCGTAGTTATTACCTTTGGAAATAGCTGCGAGAATAATAGCAAAGGCAGTGGCGCTGGAATCTGGAAGGCGCCGCTTGTTTAGCCGGCGGCTCTCTTGTCCCGCATTCGTCCTCTTCATTTCTTGGAGATCCTTCCTGAAACAGTGATTTGGTTATTTTTTATTGAGAATTTTTTTGACGGGGACGATAAGGGCCTCTCTGTATGGAGTCTGGAAAGGGTTAGTAATCGTAAGGACCCGGGAGGGAAGAGAAAGGTAAGTGTTAGACATAATTATACCTTGTTTTGGAGAGTCAAATGAATGAAGTGTTAATAATGGAAGTGTTAATAATTTTACCTTGAGGCAAAAGAAACGAGTAAAGAGAAGAGATGAAAAGGCAGACCATCAGACTCGTTGGAAAGATATTCGAAGTGAAATGTCGAAGCATTTTATGTTTTTCGATAAATGAGAAGGATAATAATTGTCCAACACCTCAAAACACTCCAAATCGGGGTGTTAAAAAAATGGACAATTGAGGTGTTGGGAAGGTTATTATTAACACTTCCTAACCATTACTAACACTTCTTAACACCTTTGGATTTTCTCCCAAACAAGTGTTAGCATCAACACTTACTAACACTTACATTACTAACACTCCTCAACACTCAATCCAAACAGACCATAAATCTGGAGTGGGGAAAGTTGAACTCAAACTAGAAAGCCAGGATCCCAGAAGTGGGAACGTTATGAAATCTGTCACATGCTCCAATTCTAAGGGTTGTTCCATTAAACCACACCGGACCAGATCAGAAAATTCTGGTCCAAGTAAAAAACATTCATACTCTGTAATTAAAATATAATCAATTTTAAATATGGAGATTTTTTCCAAATTAATGCTGAATAAAAAAATACTTACCAAGTTGATGTTGGGTTAAAACTATTTCCCAATGTACTATTGTGCTAATTATAGGCTCCTTTGGTAGTTTACACATTAAAACTTTACATGTAAAATTATTGCATGTAATATCTAAGGCTGTAAAATAGTTTCATCTTTTATAAATTACTCATTGAATGTGCCAAATAAATTTACATGTAAAATACTCATTGAATGTGCCACAGAGCTTCTAGGGGGTGTATTCAATTTGGATTGTTGTGGACTTTTTTTAATCCATGGACTTTTAAAAAAGTCAATGGACTTTTAAATCCATAGACTTTTTTATGAATGAATTCTATGGACTTTTAAATTCATGGATAAGTTTATTGACTTTCAAAAAGTCCATAGACTTTTAAATGCGGACCGTCACTGCTGTTCGTCAAAATTTTCACCTAGATTGTCACTACCGATATGCCTATGACCTGTCCACATCCATCACCGGAGTTCCCCGCTGTCTTCATCGGACTGACGCGTCACCAAAAAAATGGCTTTGGTTCTGAAAGGGAACTAGGGACAATTAATTATATTAATTAATTAATTAAATTAGGGGTGAATATGTAATATTTATTCCCATTTAAGAAAAACCAAACATTTAATCATACTTTAAAAATAATGCTATGTTTTAGTCCTACCGTGAGTGATTTCCTCTATATAATATGGAGTACGATAAGAAATAAATAAGTAAGTAAGTAAGTAAATAAATAAATAAATAAATAAATAAATAAATAAATAAATAAATAAATAAATAAATAAATAAATAAATAAATAAATAAATAAATAAATAAATAAATAAATAAATAAATGAAAAAATGTAATTCAAATAGCAAGACAAAGTTCTACAAAAATAAATGAAGCATAAGAATTCAAATTCATTTTTATTAAAAAAAAACTCAAAGTTTCAAAAATGCTCGAGAATTTTGGCCATTTTATTAATGATTAAGAACATTAATCGTTACACAAGCGTTACACTCATTGCTACATGTGGTACAAGCATAAATGCAATCAAGCTTTTCTACTTAGTGATTGTTTTCTTTTAACTTCTATCTTGTAAAACTTGTATATGTATTTATGGTTATATATTTATTAATTTGAAATTGTATTTATATGTGTTAAGCGATTTAACGATGAAAGAAAGTGGTAGTTAAAATATTTATTTTCTTTATGGTTAACTGATGACGTATCAGAATTGCATTGATGTAATACTATCGATTCTTATATCGGTTCTTCTATAAACTTCTAGAATCAAATCAATATAGGATTACTGAATTGAGGGGGGTGGACTGGGGACGGCAAGCTAAAGAAGAAGAAGAAGAATGGAAGGAGAGGGGTGGGCGAGCTGGGTTGAAGAAGAATAAGAAGAAAGATTGAAGAGGAAGGTGTGGCTTGGCTAAAGAAGAGTAGAGTTGGGGGAGGGGGGGAGTAGGCTTGGCCCGAGGCTGGTCTGACTGGCCCGGGACCCGGCCCAGCCCGCCACTGTGCGGGTCCGACCCGGCCCGTTGGATCGGTACCGGTACCGGGCCTAGGCCCGACCCGGGGGGATTAATTGGGGCGGTTCTGGAACTGCATATTTGAGGACCAGCCCGGCTGGTCCGGGCCCGGTCCGGGCCTTATTTGTTTTTTTTTGGGTGGGGGGGGGGAGGTTGGGCCTATGGTAGGTAGGTTGGGTGTTTTGGAGGGGTTTGGGGGTGAGGGTTGGAATATATAAGAAAACCGAAAAAAATGAACCAGCCCGGCCCAACCCGGAACTGGCCCGGCCCGATACCGGTAGACTCCCGGGCTGGTCCCGGGCCTTACCCAAAAAATTCCAAGCCCGGCCGGGCCTGACTCGGAACAGAAACCGGGTCTGGCCCGGTCCATCCCTAGGAGGGAGGGGAGGAATGGGGTGGAACGGGATGAAGAACCGATATAAGAAAAGTCCACGGAAATCTTTGGTGAGGAGAGGAGACAATTGTAGAGAATTTTTGCACTAAAAATGAGTTAAAAGTCCACGAGAATCCATGATTTTAGAAGTCAATAAGAATGAACGGAAATTTGAATACGCCTAGACTTTTATAGACGACTTTTAAAAGTCCGAATTGAATACACCTAGACTTTTGTGGACTTTTAAAAGTCCACATTGAATACACCTAAACTTTTAAAATCCATGTACTTTTAATATTTTGTCACTAAATCCTAATACAATACACCCCCCTCTAATTAACGTGCAGAGAATTTGCTTCTAACCCGCTAGAAGACAACTATACAAATAGTACGTACTACCTCTATCTCATTTTATAAGAAATCTTTATACATCAAAACTTTATGGAATTTGAATTGTATTTTGTAGGTTTTGTAGCGGATTTAATGTAGTTTCTGAATATGTAATTTTTCTTTTCTAAAAATAATTTGAGTGCAGACGGGGATTCGTTTGCTTTATCGTCGGTCAAACATCGTAAACCGAAAAGTATCTTATAATTCGGGATGGAGGGAATATATACTTATTATATTTGATCAACCCAATTAAACAGATCTCAAAACTAAACAGCTACAACTTAGAATATAATTCAAAGCTGGAGATCCAATATTCGAACATACGAAGTATATTATATACTACGTATATAAAGATGTATGTGCAGAGTAACTAATAAACATGAGCCTGTTCAACAACGAACCGGAAATCAGGTTTTTGCGTATCTCCGGAACGAACAACACTTGGTTAAGAGTCAGCTCCTTGCCCGAAGTCATCTTCAGGACCACCTTGCCCACGCCTTCAACCGCGGAATGAGCCGAGTTTCCCATCCACACCTTCTCACCATTTGATGGCTCAAAGGTTGTGAATAACTCCCGATTTGAGCAAATATGCCGGGTAGCACCGGTGTCCACAAACCACTCCTTGGAATTGGATCCAATGAGGTTGACTTCCGTCACCACGGCCGCTAGGATGATGTCTTCATCCTTTTGCCCACCTTGCACCAAGTTGACGTGAGAATCTTTCTTCCTCTTTGGTGCCTTGCAATCCGAGGACTTGTGTCCATTTTTATTGCAATTGAAGCATTTTCCGTTGAACTTAGTCTTGGAAACGCCTCCCTTGGGACCGAGCTTGCTCTTCCCATTATTTTTATTTTTGGAGCTTTTTGCATGCTCCACCACGTTGGCCTTGGCGCCATGAACAATTGGGAGTTTCCCATCGTTCTTCCGGTTATCCTCTTCAATCCGCAGACGGAGGATCAATTGTTCCAAGTTCATTTCCTTTCGCTTATGCTTAAGGTAGTTTTTGAAATCCTTCCAAGCCGGCGGCAACAAATGTATAATTGACGCCACTTGGAAAGACTCGCTAACCGTCATTCCTTCATCTCGAATTTCGTTGAAGATCATTTGCATCTCCTCAACTTGACTCAAGACCGTCTTCGAATCCACCATTTTAAAATCAAGGAATCGACCAACAACAAATTTCTTTGCGCCGGCATCCTCGCTTTTATATTTGTGGTCCAAAGCATTCCATAGCTCCTTAGCCGTAGCTAATTTGCTATATACGTCGTACAAAGCATCATGCAGCCCGTTCAACACATAGTTTCGGCAAAGGAAGTCAGAATGCTTCCAAGCCTCAACCGCGTTGAGAGATTGCACATCTACCTCACTCCCGGTTACAACCGGAGCGTCCTCGGTCAAGAACCTCGCAAGACCGAGAGTAGTGAGATAAAATAGCATCTTTTGCTGCCACCTCTTGAAGTTTAACCCATTGAATTTCTCGGGTTTCTCCACAGAGTTGCTTGGCACGGTAACCATAGGGATAGCCCTTTGGTTCAAAACAGAAGTGACAAACTACGGTTTTAAGATTGTATCCGTATGATACAAGCTTAGCAACAAATACGTTTTAAGATTATACCCGTATGGTACAAGCTTAAGCAAACAAATACGTTTTAAGATTGTTGGGTGTGTTTCGGAAAATAAAGAAAATTAATTAAAGTAAATTAATTAAATAAAATGACGAAAGAAAAACAAGAAAGGAGATGAAGCAGAATTAGTCAAAGCTCGTGCTACGCACGATGTCCTTAAAACGTATTTGTTGCCTCCCACGGTGCTAGGAGCGTTGCAACAATCGTTTCCCAGGATACGATGACTACGAACTAATGTTTGAGCACACAAACAAGAGTTCCAACGAACGAGAACACAGTATGAACACAGGGGAAATTTTCGGAATGCTAGCAGTGTGTTTTTAGAGCTAAAACGTGTATGGATTTGTGTAAAATCGTGTAAGAACGTGTTGTTGCAAACCACCTGCCAGCCATTATATAGGAGGATTTGTTGTATGAAAATAGTGAATTAATGGACCTGAACGTTGGACATCAATGACCAGTCCGTTGGGCATTGAATCGTCCATGAACTGTCCATTCAACGCTGCATTAAAAGATAAGAACGTTGGGCATTAATTGTTGTAACGTTTCAGAAGTGCGAGAGAAGACCTCCATCAGAACTCCCCGGGAGGGGTTCTGATCGGAGGCCAACTCTGATCCGCGGCCATCAGAGTACCCCCAACTCTGATGGGCGGCCATCAGAGTACCCCCAACTCTGATGGGTGGCCATCAGAATACCAACGAGAGGGGTTCTGCCATCAGAAGACCATCGAGGTGTTCTGATCCGAGCACTTCTGCCGCTGGGAAAAAATTAAACGTTTCGGGAAGAAAACAAAAATTAATCGTATCTCTTGAGAGATAGATTTTTGGACGACATTCGTGTCCGCAGGTCGCCCGCGCACGCAAGTCGCGGTTTTTCTTCTCCGATTTCGGGATTTGATTTGCACCCCCCCCCCCCCCTGCGCGGTGGAGAGAGCCTCTACCCTAAGGAATCTTAACTCCTTAAGGGGGGAGTCCCTTTATAAAGGGTTGCAAATCCCTTGGGTTTTCCGGTGTGGGAAATTAACACTAGAAACCCGCCCTTTTTCCCAGTTTTTCCATTCTAACGGGTAAACTTCGAAAAGCGATTTCTCATTCACCCGTTATCCGTTTTGAGCGTACCATATATCGAATTGTAGCCCTTAACAAGGACAATCCGAAACCACTTTGACCCGACCCAAGTCGGAAGTGGACCCCACTCAAAAAATTGCCCCAAAATAGCCATTTAATGCAATTTTTCACACATTTTTCCAACAAATATGACTAGTGGCTAGAGTAGTAATGAAATCATAGTAATTCATGTTCAACTGTTCAAGTTTTGAGCTTGAACAATTACCACAACACCACATTATAGTAATGAATAGTCATATTTATGTAAATATGTTTTATTTTAGTAATATCTTTAAAAAACTCAGAATGGGGAAATATTGCATATACTACGACTATGAACGTTTTCTTTTGGACTGTTTTCAGTCCCAGACCATACTAGATTTAAACAGATCAGACCAGACCAGACTTGGATAGTTATAAAATACACAGAGACCAGACGTTTACCAGACCAGACCAGACCAGACCAAACCAGACCAGACCAGACCAGACTTAAACAGGCCAGACCAGACCAGACCAGACTAGCAAATTTCAGTCCAAAAGAAAACATCCTATGTATGTATTTATCTAGCTCAAATAAATTTATATTGGAATACAATTTGTATTGTCTTTATTTTATTGATAAAATATATTTTGAATGTAATTTTTTAATAAATCAATCAATTCAGCCACTTCAACCAACATTTCATAAATTTCAGCAAAATCAAATTCGGCTAATAAAAAGGTAGGAAAATAAAAAGAAATAATTATAAAAATATGATCAAAATAAAGATGATTTACAAAAATATGACTAGTGATTAGAGTAATAATGAATCATAGTAATTCATGTTCAAGTTTTGAACTTAAGTTACCACAACACCACATTTTAAGTAATGAATAGTCATATTTATGTAAATATATTTTATTTTAGTAATTTTTTTGTGCTGGGAGATACTCCGTATGAAGTATAATGAACGCATGCTAATAAAAAAGGGGTTTTTATTTGGATATTACTAATTTTGAACCAATTACCCAAAAAGTGATCACCTTTAAAAAGGGGCAAAAAAGTGATCAAGAAGGTCATATATGTGCAATTAGAAAATATGATTTAACTGCAAAAATTTACGTCACTGCGTGTTCGTTTTTTTGTAACTACCGCCACCACTCATGTCACTACAACCACCGCTCGTGTCACTACAACCACCGCCCGTGTCACTGTAGCCCCCGCTCGTGTCACTGTAGTCACCGCCCGTGTCACTGTAATCACCGCCCGTGTCAATGTAGCTACCACCCGTGTCACTGTAGCCACCACCTGTGTCACTGTAGCCACCGCCCGTCGTGAAATATGTCACTATGACCGCTTTCTGCTCAATACAATCACCGTGCCACCGCCGCCAACGACACCGCAGTCATAGTGACATCGTCACAATGAGAACGCATTAGTGACACCGCCATTGTAGCCCTGACTTCACTGACACGAGCATAGTGACCTGCCATGGTAATCCCACCCATCACCGCCACCAGCCCTCATCCCCCGTCCCTAGCCACCGTCACCCTTCCCAGCCTCCCTTCCCCTTCTCCAGTCACTACCCCCTTTCCCAAGTTCCCAGCCCCATATCCCACTCCCCTGCCCCTACCCCTGCCCTTTCCCCCCTAAGCAGCTCGCTTATCCTGCTCCAGCCCCTCTCCAGTGCGCCTCCCCAACGTCCAAGCCCCATCCCCAACACAGAAACCATAGCCGTGACCTGCAACAACCGCTCCATCGAAGACGACGACGGATCTGACAGAATCTGACATTTCAATATATATGAGTTTACATCTTCGTTGCGATTGAGTTCTAGGGCGAGAGCACGACGATGGCGGTTTGAATTTAAGGGGAGAGAATCGCGACCTGCAACAAACCGATCCATCCAATAGATGCGAGGACGATGCAGGTGCTACGAACCCGGAGAAAAGGTGTGTTGCGTCGGCGACTCTCAGCTGTGGCGGCGGTGACTATTTCAGCGGCGGCGACTATTTCAGCGGCGGCGACACTTCCTGCTCGGTTGTGGAGATGAAGGCTCAGCTTGGGAGATTGGCGCAGATATGTCGATTTGCAGGTGAATGACGTGAGGCCCAAATAGATGGAAACATATGTCTTATTTTTGTAATACTAAAAAATAGTCATGTTTTTGTCGTTAAGAAGTCCATGGGTAATACGTATGCCATTATTTCAATAAAAAATAGAAAACTTATTCCTACGCAATCTCAAGAAATATATGGCAAGTACATACGTATAAATATGTGATCAGTGATCAAAGTTCATTCGCAAACCATTTACTATTTCATTCTTGTTTGTTGTCCAATACAATATAGATCTCGATCCATCTGCTTAAACTTTTTTACAAGATGAATAACGAGGTTAGGGTTAGAAGCTATGTAGCACTGATACTGGTACGCGGAAACGCGGAAACGTGCACGGGGATACTTCCAAACCAAAAAAAAGTAGGATACAGATACAGAGCCATATTTATAAATACTAAAAGTTATGGGGTGTGTTTACAAATATTAAAAGTTATAGTGGTCTATTTATAAATATTAAAAATAGATTTTTTTTGGAATATATATATATATACATATAATATCATATGATGTCTAACCATTCATTGCATTGAAGTATTATCCTTTTTCAAGATACTTAGTAATAAATTCATAATATTTCTCATATACACTAGTGCATCTCGAAATATAAATGTAGTCAATAAGTCATTAATTTAAAATGAGAAATAAGTCAAACAACTACAATCTTGAAATTAAAAGTGCAAGTACCCACTTCGGAGTATGAGTTAATGACTTAATTTGGATATAGCCATATAGGCCCATTATTTGATTACCAAATAAAATGTAGTTTTAGATTTTCATTTTTTTTAGAATTTTATTAAGTAAATTTTGGGATTTTTTCTAAAAAGTTGATACGGGTATCTGTCAGGATACGAGTATCGGAAACTTTCAAAAAATTTACAAAAAAAATGGAAACTTTTAAAAATTGCAAATACGGCTCGGGAACGTACGGTACGGGTATCCTAGAGTATCGGATACGGGAACGTATCCGATACGCCAATACGCTACCCTAGGGAAGTATGTGTGCTTCATAGGACTTAGAAGCATGGACTTCAGCACGGTGACGGACCCAACTCTGGGCATACTGAGTATCCGAATGATCACCCAATCCAATCCGGATGAGTTCACCTTCAACCCTCTCTACGGTTTGCCCTCACTTGCAGACCTTGCAGATAGGGTTTACGTTTCCCTCATACTTTTCTCCTCCTTCGGCGTTGACCCGCGGTGGGCCAGCCGCGTCCACTCTCAGGCGGCTTCCGGCGTGATGAAAACGGTTAGCAACACAAGAGGGGGGGGGGGGGGGGTGAATTGTGTGTGTGTGGAACTGTGGCAGTTTTTCGCCAAGTTCTAGTGTGGGTGAAGGGATTTGCAGAAAAGTAAAGTGCACAAATATTTAACGAGGAAAACGCCCTTGGCTCAAAAGGGATTAAAAAACCCCGACCTCCCTCGGAGGAATTTTAAACAACTTCACTAATCAAGCCTTTGAAAGATTACAAGAGTGATTCTCCTAATCTACCCTTGAGCCTCCCCAACTCTATCCTCTCTAGGAAGAGTTATGCATCTCTACCTTTTGGGTAGAGAGCCTCTCAGCTTTATCACAAAGCTCTCACACACACACTGTTCCCAACCTGAGGTAGCTACACTTAGCTTTGCCTCAAACACGAATTACAAGAAGGGAAGTAGAAAAACTCTATCTAGAACTTCGTGAGCAGTTTCAGGCACTGTAGACTTGATCCGTTCTCTTGAGTGATTTTCCTTAGTAATTTTCTCGATCAAGCACATTTCTTCTCTTCTTCTCCTTTGCTTTTTATAGTCTGTCTTGAGGTGGATCCGTTGGAGCCTTCTTTCCTTGAGTGGATTAATGTGATTCTTGCCTTGAAATAATTTAAAAAACCTTCCATCCTTATATCCAAGTCAACCGAGCTCTCATGGTCTTACAAGACAATGAATAATTGGCAAGGCAATAATATATTATCTTTCCATAATAGGACCAACGGACCATGACAGTAAATGATACTTAGGAAATCTGAATTTATTCAAATCATGTGATATTTCTAAAGTAGCTTTCCTTTGATAGCACTTTCATCATGTCACGTTCTTTATTCATTATTTAAAACCAATTGCCTTCTTTAAAAGTGGATGTATTAATTTAAGGACCCTTTCCATAAATGTATTCCATTAGTACTTTTATTTTTCAAATCATGTAAGTCATAAATAATGTCGCGTAGTCATGCATGCACGCAGATATAAATGAATCTCAAATAGCATAGAGTAGTTCCAACTGGGCAACCTGCATGGTTATTCACAACGAGTAATCATATATTAAAGACCAGGTTCATCCTTTGTTCTTGCATGGTTAGTCATCAACAAAACAACATATTCAACAAATCCCCCCTTTTTGTTGATGACAAACCGTAAGTGCCTTTCCTGCAAAAGAAATCATAGTAGCATACACAGCACACTCAAGTCACATAGTAGTGAAGATAATAAAGGCACCTGATTATTTCCCCCTTTTGGCATCAACCAAAAGGAAACAGGAATAATCAAAACAGTGCCTAAGAGCCAGTTAGAAGTACTACCAGATTGACAAAACAAAGACGAGCAAGGCAGTTGGTGAGCAAGAAGTACTACATAGTGTTTTCAAGCATCCTCATCATCCGAGGAGGGAACAATCTCTCGGTGAACGACGCCGGGTTCTTCCAAATGCTGCAAGACTTCCTTCTTGAAATTTGCTTGTGATTCTGTCAGAGCGTCAACCTTTCGTGCCAGTGTAGCAATAGATTCTGAGAGGGAGTCGAGTTGTTGCTTGAGGGAGCGCTCTAGAAGATTAATGTGGTCAGTAATTGGAGGAACAACCACCATTGGATCACTGGAAGGAGCAGGAGTAGGTCCGTGGGCCTTGGTTTTTGCTCAGATGAGAAAGGAGCAGATTCTTTGGGAAGCAATTTAGAGTTTTTGATAAGAAGACCCAGATTTCCAAGACCCTGCTTATCCATGATTTTATTTTCTTCCTCAGGGTGGAAATCATCTAGAGGGATTTGTTTGGACTGGAAGATTTTGGTGAAGAATGGTGCATAGGGGATGCCATTTTTCCGGGACGAAGTGCTTATGATAAAACTTAGGTGTGCTAACATCAAGCCAGGAAGGTTTATTGGAATCTTATTCGCTAGAAGGTACATGTAGGCAACCTCTGCTCTAGATGGGGAGGAGCGACCTTCAAGTCGTGGAACGAGGTTGTGATGGACGAAATAGAACAACAACTTGTGGACAGGGGACAGACTGGCTACATGAAGAGAAGAGCCTGTGATGGTAGGGTCAAAATATTGAAGAGCAACATCCTGAGAAACACAATCTAGAGGCCATTCAATTTTATCATACGCACACTCACCACTACTGGGAACACCAAGAATCACACCTAAATCTTCAGTGTCAAGTAGAATTTTGGTATTCTGGACCCGGGAAGATATAACATTCTCTTTGATTATCAAATTTGCTAAGAATTCAGCCACCAATTTGGGATAAACAGCAGGGCAATTTTTTGAATCATACAAGTTTTCCCAATGTTGAAATACGATAAACTCGGCAAAGTCAGAGGTCTTACTCATGAGTTCATCAAAGGAAAGGGTGAGAATCTTCACGCGACTCCGGTTGAGAAATTTGTCTTTGAGTTTGACCGAGTCCGCTTCAGCTACTTTACCCAGTTTAGGGTATTTCTTGCTTGATTCTGCTACAGGGATTAGTCCCATCTCAATTGCTTTCTTCCGGGTGATCTTCTGGGGAAGGTATTTCCCGTCTCGCGAGAGTGGTTGTCGTTTCCTTTTTCGCCAATGTTGACGGAGTGGGAGGCGAAGGTGATTTTTCACAGATCTTGTCTTCTTCCTGGGATGACGAGTGTTGAGAGGCCGCCGAGTCTTCCATGGTCGCTTGATTTCCAGAGTTTTCTTGCATGTTGGAGGAAGGAGAAGATTCGGGGTTAACAAGGATCGGTTTTGGAGCGAGAGGGGTTCTCCTCCGACTCGAGCGTCGTGGTGTAGAGGAAGATGCTCCACCCCTGGTTTTAACCATGTTGGAGTAGGGTGATAAGTATGGAAAAGCAGATTTAGGTAAGGAAGTAATAGGGGTCGTGTAAGGATTATGGGGAAACAAAATCAATAGGGGTGGATTTTCTTGGGATGACTTTGTATTAATTGATTGTTCCACTTCCCCCTATCTTGCTAGAATTTCGGCCAGTTGGTTTTGAATTTGAATTTAGCCAAATCAGTATTTGATTTTGGCAATTTGGAAAACGGAAGGATTGTCAGATACAATTTTAGGACATAATCTTATAGATTCATGTAACTTTAAAGATGGATATCACCCACGCACCCCCAAACCGACTCACAAGAGAAATTATATTTTATTTTTTTCCATAAGTTAACCTTTTCGTAAGAAGAGGATCTATTTATTAAAAAAATTGGGATAAGATATAAATAATGAGTAAAATTAAGCAAGGATAATTTTCATGAATTAATTAATCCAAGCTCAAGTCTGATAATTTCAAACCTTTCCCTTCCCAGGGGCTTGGTAAAGATGTCTGCAATTTGCTTGTCAGTGTTGCAATAATCCAGTTTGAGCAGCCCCTTTTCCACGCAATCTCTTAGGAAGTGATGTCGGATATGAATATGCTTGGTCCGAGAGTGCATGACCGGATCCTTGGAGATGCTAATGGCACTTGTTTTATCACACATAATTGTTGTGCATTTTATTTTGACTCCGTAGTCGCTTAATTGTTGCATGATCCACAGTGATTGGGTGCAGCATGATGCAGCAGCTACGTACTCGGCCTCCGCTGTTGAGAGTGCTATTGAATTTTGCTTCTTAGAACTCCAAGAAACTAGGCAGGGACCCAGGAAGTGAGCAGTTCCAGACGTGCTTTTTCTATGTAATAGATCCCCTGCAAAATCAGAATCTGAATATGCAATTAGTTCAAAACTCTCATTACAAGGATACCATAGGCATAGATCAGCAGTTCCTTTGAGGTATCTGAGGATCCTTTTCACAGCTTTGAGATGAGACTCTTTGGGATTAGCCTGGAACCGAGCACATAGACCTACGCTGAAAACAATGTCAGGTCTACTGGCAGTGAGATACAGTAGGGACCCGATCATTCCTCGATACATCTTTTGGTCAATGCTCTTCCCTTGTTCATCTGCATCCAGCCTATCATTTGTTCCCATAGGTGTAGTCATGGTTTTCCCTTCACTCATCCCGTACTTCTTTAGAAGTTCCTTGAGGTACTTTTGTTGAGATATTTGAGTTCCTTTGCTCGTTTGCTTGATTTGTAGACCAAGGAAGAAGTTAAGTTCCCCCATCATACTCATCTCAAATTCGGAACTCATAAGCTTTGAAAATTCTTCACAAAGGGAATCGTTAGTAGCACCAAAAATAATATCATCAACATAAACTTGAACAACCAATAGGGCTTGATCTTTTATTTTTTAGAAAAAGAGTTTTATCTATTTTTCCTCTTTCAAAACCATTTTCCAAAAGAAATTTAGATAGGCGTTCATACCACGCACGAGGTGCTTGTTTGAGGCCATAAAGTGCTTTATCTAATTTGAAAACATGATTAGGAAGATCTTGATTTTCAAAACCCGGTGGTTGTTCTACATATACCTCTTCCTTTAGATATCCATTCAAGAAGGCCGTTTTGACATCCATTTGGTGGAGGGTGAAACCCATATGAGCCGCAAAGGCAATGAGCATTCGGATTGCTTCCAATCTTGCCACTGGTGCAAATGTTTCGTTGAAATCTATTCCTTCTTGTTGGTTATAGCCTTTGACAACAAGCCTATCTTTGTTTCTTGTAATTTGGCCATGTTCATCAAGCTTGTTCTTGAATACCCACTTGAGACCTATCACAGTCTTGTTCTTGGGTCTCGGTTCTAGATGTCACACCTTATTTCTTTCAAACTGACTTAGTTCTTCCTGCATGGCTAGAACCCAGTCAGTGTCGGAGAGAGCCACTTCATGGTTCTCCGGTTCTATAAGAGATAAATAAGCAGAGAAAGCACAAAAATTTTTAAGTTTAGATCTAGTTGTTACTCCCTGATTTAGATCGGTGAGGAGATTATCCAGCGGATGTGATCTATGAAGCTTCCAACCCCTAGGAGCTTCGGGTCGGTCCACCAAATTGTAGAGAGTATCTGAAACTGGTTCTACTGGTTCAGGGTCAGGGTTCTATTCAGGTTCTTCTTCAGTTCCAGATTGTCCATCTTCATTTGTTAGAGGTGGTTCACCAGTTTGACTGCCATTTCCTTCCCTTCTTTGAGGTTGAGCTTCCTTGCGAGTGATCCCTAGTTCTCCATCATCGGCTTGGATTGACTTTGAGGCAAGTGCTTCATCAAAGATTACATGAATGCTTTCTTCCACACATTGTGTGCGTTTGTTTAGAACTTTGTAAGCCTTGCTATGAGGAGAATATCCGAGGAAGATTGCCTTGTCACTTCTAGCATCAAATTTCCCAATGTTATCTTTCCCATTGTTGTGGACGAAACATTTGCATCCAAAGGTTCTTAGATGACTAATGTTGGGCTTTCTTCCTTTGAGTAGTTCGTAGGGTGTTTTCCCTAGTAGTGGGCGGATCATGGCTCGATTAATGATGTAACATGCTGTGTTTAGAGCCTCGGCCCAGAAACTCCTCGCTAGACCGCTGGAAATAAGCATTGTTCTAGTCATGTCCTCCAGAGTTCTATTTTTCCGTTCTACCACTCCGTTCTGTTGTGGAGTTCTAGGGGCAGAGAAGTTGTGGTCTATCCCTCGTTCCTTGCAGAATGCATCGAAGAGTGAGTTGTCAAACTCAGTTCCATGATCCGATCGGATCTTGATTAGTTGTAGACCTGTTTGATGCTCAATTTTCCTTACAAAAATAGCAAACTCATTAAAAGTATCTTTCTTGCTAGCAAGAAAGATAGTCCATGTAAATCTTGAAAAATCATCAACAATAACTAGAACATATTCTTTGTTTCCTCGGCTACGGACTGACATTGGACCACACAAATCCATGTGAATTAGTTCTATGGGCTTGCTTGTGCTCACCAAATTCTTTGTTTTAAAGGATGATCGAGATTGTTTTCCGGTGGCACAAGCCGAGCAAACACGGTCAAGTGAAAATTTCATATTGGGCAGTCCAATAACTAAATCATTATTTTTAAGTTTATTTATTAATGAAAAACTAGCGTGTCCAAGCCTTTTATGCCATAGCAAAGGATCGTTATCAATAACGCTCAAACAAGTCATACTAATATTAGGCAATGAATCAAGATCTACTTTATATGTATTTTCGAGCCTCTTGCCTTCAAGTATAACTTGCTGTGATTCGTTATTAACAATGCGACAAACGTTATGATAAAAAACAACACTATTACCTCGATCGCAAAATTGAGAAATACTTAGCAAATTAAATTTCAAGCCTTTGACTAAAAATACATTATCAATAGCATGGCTAGGTGACTTTCCAACTTTCCCCACGGCTATGATCTCTCCTTTGCCATTGTCTCCAAATGTCACCTTTCCACCGTTAAATGGCCGTAATGAGAGGAATAAAGATTTGTCTCCCGTCATGTGCTTAGAACAACCACTGTCAAGGAACCAGTGATTGTTCCCCCTCACTCGACGTTATTCCAGGTTTAAGGTTTAGTGCGTGGAACCCAGACCTGCTTGGGTTCCATTTTGTATTTATTTGAGGAAAATCTAACATAATCATAGCATCTATCTAGGGTCTCTTGCCGTATTTAGGTTTCCATTTAGGTTTAGTGCCACAATGCATGCAAACTCGGTTATCATAAGTATCAACGTATTTAGGTTTCCATTTACCGTGAAAGCCTCTTGTTCTTTTGTGAAAAGTTCAGTTACGCGTTTGTCCATAACCGTTTTTGTGCCTCTGAACCAGTCTATCGAACCAATTTGGTCCAGTTCTAGGTGACTGTTGATATGGTCTAGAACTGGGTTGTCCACGGGTTCTATTGCCCTTAAAGGGTTGGTTTTGAAAATTTGATTTTTGATTAGATTGAGAATCTCTGGGAACATATCTGAGACCTGCAGTCTCGTTTTCTTTTCTATTGTGCTGAGAAGGACCAGTTCCAGAATAAGGTCTAGACCTAGTCTTGTTTGCTGCACTATAGGATTGATATTCCGGTCTATTTTTAAAATCAGTGCACTCGGCTACAAGACGATGAAGATGATCAATTAAACAACCAACGCTCGGAATTTTTTAGAGAAGTTTCTCATCATGATCAACTTGTTTGTTCATACTATCGAGCTTAAGGGAGCAAATGATTTGATCTTGTTCTAGAACCACTTCACTGTACTTAAGCTTTTCATCTATTAACTCTCCCACTTTTGTTTCAAGCCTTATCTTGGCTCTCGTGGTTTCCTCGAGTTTAGACTCAAGCTCAGTGATTCGTGATTTAAGATGATCATTTTCAGAAAGATTTTGATTAAGCTCAATAGTCAATCTTTTAAAAATTTTCCGAGCTTTGGTTTTGGGTAGAGATTCAATCTTGGATAGGAAATTTTCAACATTTACCTCGAAGCTCTCTTGGTCAGATTCCTCGTCAGAATGGGCCATAAGACATAGACCTGCATGATTGGAATTCTTCTCACTCTCTTCTTCTTCACCATCAGAAGAGTCTCCCCATGCTGCCATCATTGCTTTCTTGAGATCTCTATTGAAGCCTTTGTCTTCACTGAACCTCCGGTTGGAACTGGACTTGTTCTTGTCATAGGTTTTCTCATTTTTCTTTTGTGGGCAGTCCTTAGCCCTGTGCTCAAAGGAACCACAAACAAAACAACCTTGGTTATTAAAGGATTGAGTATTCCTTTTACCTTGTTTGGTACGGTTGTTCTTGAACTTTCAGTACATCCTCCCAAATTGTTTCGCAAACATGCTCATCTCATCATCCGATTCACTTTCGGATTCTTCTTCTTCTTCTCAAGCCTTTAGAGTTATTCCTCTCTCTCTCTCGTCTAGCATTCTCGGCATCCTGTTCTTCTTGAAGACCAAGTTCATATGTTAAGAGTGATCCGGTCAAGTCTTCAAGCGTCATGGTGGATAGATCTTTTGCTTCTTCAATGGCCTGGTCTTAGGCTTCCATACCGGGGGCAAGCTTCTCAAGATCTTTCTCGCTTGATCTTCCACTGTAATCTCTCTTCCAAGGGCTGAAAGCTCATTGATGATTGATGTGTGTTTTCTCGCACTTAAAATGATGTAGTAAAATGGTGTAAAGTACGAGTATCGTCTCCACAGGGACGGACAAAAGGGAAATAAAGATTAACTAAACTTTAGCGATTAAAA